TAGGCGCTTGGGTTGGGTCCGATTTGTACTTGGTTGTAATCACCTTTCCCGCCCCCCTTGAAGGTGTCATGGACCCTGGCTTGGAGAAGCTGGCTCGCTACAGGAGGTCATCCACCGGAAAGAAAGGGCCAAATGCGGCGCGGGACTTTCATCGCTTTGTTCACAGGGAACTGAAGGCCTTACCAGTGCAGTTGTCAACTGTTGCAACACCGATCAGAGCCCGGAAGCGTGCCAAAGCTGATGGTAAGAAACGCTTCCACCTACTCATAGTGGACCACCCCGTGATGCATTTGTCAAGTTGGGCAAAATGCCTCCTGACCAACTATCCCAAGTTTATGCTGGGAGGGCACGACCTTCACGATATCGATGCCTACACGGCCATGTTCCAAGAGGTTTGGTGCAACTTTCGCTCCTATGACCCTTCGCATGTCATCTACCAGGCCAAGTCGCCGGAACAAAGGAAGTTTTGCATACCCTGTGCGTATCATGGAGATGAGGGCCGTGGGGCCGCCAAAGATCCATTGCTTGTTACAGCGTTTCAGGTAGTGATTCCATACACTGGGCCAGATTGCCTCAACAGCGCCCAGCAGCTTGGTTCTTAAACATATGCCCTGCTCATGCTAGGGGGCCTGCTTTCTGAACATCTGAGGCATTCATTCACAACAAGGCTGCTGTACACCCTGCTGCCAAACAGCTGGTACGCCAAGAACGATGCTTCACTCCTTGCCCTTCACACGGCGCTGGCTACAGACCTCACCCAGCTATTCACTTCTGGTGTGACCGTTGAAGCTTCTTGTTTGCATCTTGGAAAAGAACTTGCCGTTTGGGTATGTGTCCCATTTGCTTCAGGTTGATGACCGGAAGGTCCAGTTCTACATGGTCCTGACTGCCATAAAAGGGGATTGGCCCTGGCTTCGCAAATCGATGTGCCTAAAAGTTGGATTTCGGTCATCCTCCATTTGCCACCTGTGTCCCGGTGATGCAGCTTTGCAGCACCCTAGTCCGAGTTTTGGCTTTGCCAAACAAATAGACCCTTTGCAAGGCCTCTAGGTTTACCACCGCAGCTATATGCCTGACCCTGAGCTTGATGTTTGCCAACTTGAACCTCACTTAGGAGTGGTGGAACTTCTCTGAGAACAGTCAAGTACGCAATTGGTGTGGGGAGATACCAGATCCTTTCAAGAAAGGTGTAGCGTCACCCCTACGCGCTATCCCTGGAGCAGACTCTGCCTTTGTCATCAAGCCTGACTTTCTGCATGTGTTCAATTTGGGTTTTGGTGGTGAACTGGCCGGCGCCGCAGTGCTTGCAGCATGTCACATGAACATCTTCCAAGGGAGGTCCATCCAAGTCCGCCTTGATCTTGCTTGGGAGCGATTGGATGCCTACTGCAGCACTCACGGGAAGTCAATGTCAAGAAAAGGTTTTGACCTGCGGAAGTTCAAAATCAAATCGCTGCTTGAGTGATTTTTTGTGTGCCATACAAACCAGCATGGTGTTTCAATATCGCTTTGTGGGGAATCTTAGGTTGCGCGAGTTTCCACGTGCTGGTCCCCGAGCTCACGACACGGCTCATATTTGTAAGTGGATGGAGAGTGAGTTGAGTGCTGCAACTGTGGCCCCTAGTTTGCATTATGTTTGGCTATTGAATGTGGTTGCTGATTGCGAGTGTGATTGTGTATGTTACCCAAGGCTGATGAGCACACTGATGTGCTGACCCTTCTTCACTGGACCCTTTGTGTGACCAACCGGTTTTTCCATTTGCTTTACCACCAGGGGATCTGGATTTCCTATGACGTTGCGGAGGAGGCTACCAAATTGGGGTGGTTTATGTTGGAAGCTTGGCCTACGATTGGTGCAATGTTTGGTGTATTATGCTAGCAGATGTGTGTGTGCGAGTTGAGATCGCGTGTGCTGTCTTAGGAAGGGTACACGGGCCTTGCTAGCCTGTTCTGTCAGTTTAAATGGCGCTTGTGCCGGCTACGCCCAAAGATCCATCTGCATGCCCACTTGGTGATGCTTGGCTTGGTTTAGCGAATAGCGCGTTAGAAGATTAGAAGGCATCAACAGCATTAAGTTTTTGTGCTGCTGCTAGAAACTAAAACTCCTTGCAGTTAAGGAAATCGATGGAAGATCAGATAAAGAGTAGTCCCACATCACCAGTGTTCAACGTATGCAGTGCCTTCGGCTGCACTCATTTGGTGTTGCTTCTGCCTGGTGCTTAAGCCGATTGAGCTTGTCAGGTTGGGCGTGCTGGTCTGATGAAGATTTTGTTGGGCAGGTGTCCCGATTGCACCGCCGAATCAATGCAAGGCAGTTGGCAGCTAGTCGCGTGATGAGCCGATGCTTAATGCGGTACCAAAGGTACTTCATTAATCGGGGTTTGGCTGCTTAAAGGCACCAGCTGAGGGCCTGACTTTGCCGCGGGGAGGCTGGAGAAAGTCACGAAGCTCTTGTCCAGGTGCACGCTGTGGCCGGTGCTGTATGTATACGTGTTACATAACCTCCCTCGAACACTTTTTGAGGAAACGGGCACATATTGGAACGCCTGGCATGCATCATTTGGACGGGGCAGAAAAAACACGTAGCAGAAAAAAAACGTGCCAATGGATGACCCTGGTATATATATATATATATATATATTTCTATATATATATGGTACCCCCCCCCCCCTCCAAACCCAGGTGTTGTCTGAAAACACTGGTATGCGCGGTGTTTCTGACAAACACCTGCATCTGCTTTTCAGGCCATCTGTTTGCATCTGTAAAAGCCTCTCATGTGCCAAACCAGCCCATACTGCAACCAAGCACTATGCTGGCATAAGGGCATCTATTCAAGGAAGATACCCAGAAAAACTGAAAAAGCAAAAAGACTGGAAAAGAATTGAAAAACCAAGGTGAAATGCCGCAAGCCACGACAGGCCCATTTGAGCAACTCATCCCACTACTACTACTATAACGATTTCTACTACTAGTATTCTTGTTACACTATTATTGTTATTACACTGCTACTTCTTTCACTACTACTACGACTACGACTACTACTACTACTACTGCTACTACTACTACTACGACGTTCCACTACTACTACTAAGCTACTACTACTATTACTACTATTACTACATGCTCGTCGGACGTCCATCCGCTTCACGGCAAGGTCGTGCAACATAGTCCGAGACAGCTATTCTACTACTACTACTACTAGTCCTACTATTACTACTACTATTACGACAAGCGCGGGAGACAGGGGCCGCGTCCTTTTTGCAAAGATTCAAGCTTCAAAACCGAGCTGCCCAGGGCCCTAAAAAGCAGTCCGAAACAGTCCGGAAACATGTCTGAAACAGCTCCGAGCCACAACAACCCAATTTGAGCAACTCATCCCACTACTATTACTATTACGATTATTACTACTACTAGTATTCTTGTTACACTATTATTGATATTACCCTACTACTCCCACCACCACCACCACCACAACCACCACCACAACCACCACTACCACTACTACTACTACTACTACTACTACTACTACTACTACTACTCCTACTAGTACTATTACCACTACAACAACTACTACTACTACCACTACTACCACTACTACTACTACTACCACTATTACTGCGCTTCACGGCAAGGTCGTGCATCATACTCGTGGGTGTGGAAGATAGTCCGAGCCAGCTATTATTATTCTACTACTAATTCTACTATCAATACTGATAATCTTAATTCAAGCTTCAAAACCGAAAGCAGTCCGAAACAGTCCGGAAACATGCCCCGAACTGCCTCAAGCCACAAGAGGCCCACTTACTATTACTACTTCCGATTTTTACTACTACTAGTATTCTTGTTACACTACTACTAATATTACACTGCTTCTACTGCTGATGCTACTACTACTACTACAACTACTACTACGACTACTGCTACTGCTACTGCTACTGCTACTGCTGCAGCTACTGCTACTGCTACTACTACTACTACTACTACTACTGACCTGCGCATGCCTTACAGTGAAGGAGAGGTTGACCACCAACCAGAATGCTAAGGTAGGGTCTTCTTCGTTGCGGGCAAGCTTCGCTCTGCGAAGTATCAGTACTGGTATAGGAACCAGGATATGTGGGTTGCATCTGGGACACTGTGTGAATGGTTGATGACTAAGTTCATCAAAAAGCAATCCCAGTGAGTGCGATGCAGGCTTTCTCAGGGCCCTGGTTCAAAAGGACTGCCTTCTGCACGCGCCTGGCAATCAATGAGGCATGCCAAAACACAGGTTTTGTTTGAGGGGGGGGTAGCATATATATATATATATATTTGGGGGGGGGGGGGAGTTGGTGCCCTTCGACTTGGTTAAAACCTCTTTGGTCGATTCCGTGCCTACCCGAGCGATAGGTTCAAGGGCAACAGGCTACTTCGACTTGGAACTTGACCACGGGCTCCAACTTTTTAACCTAAAATCCGGTCTTCTGTCCCATAATGGCAACCCCTACGTTATAGCTTGGCTCTATTCTCAGTTGCTCCAGCTTGGACCCAGAAATCAAAAGGTGAACCCTTTGAAACCTTGACTAACAATGGGCACCAAATCAAACAAACCAACATGTCATGTCAGGTCGAGTCGCTTTGGTTGCAACTGAGTAATTTGTGAGTCGCTGCAAGTTGTTCCCATCGCTTCAACCATCCTCTCCGGTTTCCTTTTGGTTTCACTTTCCACAACTCATATGAGCAGTCGAGCATCTTGCCGTCAAAAAGCGGAAAACCCCGCCATCCATTTGCTGTTTCGCCCCTCCGGGAAAAAGAGAGCTATGTTCCAGTAGTAATTGCTTCTTTTTCAAGCTCAACAGGGGGAAAAACGAAAAGCAGCCAAATAAACAACAAACAACAATAAACAAACACTTGCCAAAAAGAAGAAGAAGAGAACGAATTCAAACACCTTCCGACGCAAAATGGGGAAACGCCGGTGACCAGGTCGGACCCGAGACCCCCCGAAGATTTTCCGCCGAAGACGCCTCCGGGCTCAGGGCGCAGTAGGCGGTGGTGGCGGCCCCCTTCACCACCGGCTTTCGGAAAGGCGCCATGGACATGCCGCTGTAGAGCAGGGACCTCAGCTTTTTAGTTCGTTTGTTTGTTTGCTTGTGTTTCTTTTTTTTTGTTTTTTTTTTTTTCTCTGCTTGGTTTTTTTCTTGGCTTCTTTCTTGTCTTCTTTTTTTTTCTTCCGGCTGAACCGTCTCCTGAAACAAATGGCTGGGTCACATCCATGGGCAGAAGAAACGAGTTCTTTTTTCCCCCTGAAAGGTCTCCTGAAACAAATGGCTGTCACATCCAAAATGGGGTTTCCCCGGAAAGGTCTCCTGAAACAAATGGATGTGTCAGTTTACCCGTTTCTCGCCTAAAACAAATGGGGTTTCTTCCATGTGCCGTTTCGCCCTGGAGAAAACGAGAAGATATTTCCAGTGGTGATAGCCTTTGCAACCAAAAGGGGGAAATAAAAGATATTCTTAAGCAAATTGAAGGTTTCTCAGACCTCCATGTCCATAGGCTTGCCACACAAAGTAGGGGAAAACAAATGGGCCTCCGTGCGAACACATTGACTGGGATTTCCAAAACCCCTTAAACAAATGGGTTTGTCACGGGAGGGTGCGTGCATTGAGGGGTTGTCACACGTATTATCCGGGATTCTCTCCCTCCAAACTGCCATTTGGAGGGTTATCACCCTATCGGACCCACATCAAGATCAAGTCCCATTAAGTCCCCTAACCTGGTGCCAATGTATTCTATCTGATTACAAGTTTGTTTATCTATGGTTATACCAGGTCCTCCAGTAGAGAGGTTAGAATAAGGGTACCCTTTTTTTATGTAGTCTATTTAGGGTTCACCCTCCTAACCAAAAGAAAGGGGCAAAAAAAGAAAGCGGGCACCCAGCTGGGGGACCTAGATATTTTTTGCGACAATGCCACAGAGACTGAAACACACATGGAACTTGGCTGAACCCTCTCCGGCTCGCAGCTGAAGACTCTCCGCTTCGAATTCTTTGGCTATTTGTGGCTTGGAGGTTTTCCGGGGGAACGAAATGGAAACAGGGGAAAGGGGATCGGTTTTGCCTTCCGTTACACCATCCCGACAAGTCCCAGTGCACGAAAACACCGCCCAAAATTAAACATCTGTGATTGATAGACTCTTTGGGGAACCCGAGGGGTCAAACAGCTCTGAACATCCAAGTTCAACGTCTTCGTTGCCTTTAGCTTGGCATTCCTCAAAACATAGGTGTCCTTTCGGAAAAATAAATGGCCCTCGTAGATGACTGGGCCACCTGGTGAGCCAGGGCCCTCTTTTGCCCATTTGCGGTTCCCGGCACCTTGGGCGGCACCAGGGTCCTTTTCAAGGGGCAGCCCCAACTCTGACAGCCGTGGACTTCCGCAGCATACCAATTTACTTGTTTCCGGTGCCTGATCAACATTGGTGTGGCTCATCAAATTCATGCACATGGCACGACAGGACACAACGGACCAGGGTGGACTCGAACCACCACAATTTGCGTCTGCAAAGTGGGTCCACTTCGAGATTGCAACGCCTCACCCATAGGGCAACTGGTCCGGATGCTTCCCGAGTTTGTTCTGCACCTTTAAACCTGAAATCACAGCTCGTTCTCAACAACACTTTTCAGGAAGTTGAAAAGCAAACACATATACATGTCCAGTGAGAAAATCCGTCAGTGAATTCTTGCCCCGTCAGCCAAGAAGCGTGAGGCCCCGGTTTCCTCCGCCCAAGCCCGTGCCGATGATGCCCGGGTGCACCGCGCACCCAATGATGTTGGGGTGGACCTGGAATTCGGAGATGTAGCCGGTCTCTCATCCCTTTGGAGTTCCATAGGACTTTTCTGGCCTGTCATTCTGGGGAGGGGGGGTGGTGCGTGTTTTACCCATGAAGGTCCCTGACATTTGCTTTCCGCTGCGTGAATTGAAGGCAAGTTCCCAACCGGAACCCATGGCTTTTCATTCAACTTCCACGCTTGGACCCCCCCAAACACATCACCACCACCACCGCCACCACCGGCACCGCCGGTCTCCAGCGCTGCCCCTTTCCACACCTCCCCAAACATTGCCTGTTGAACAGTTGGGAGGGTTCAGGCCTTCACTGCCAGAGTTGCCTCTTCAAAAACGGGTTCGAAGCTTAACAGGGATCCTTACATGAAAAACACCTGAACAGTGCCTTGCAAATGGTGGTGTCCCTTTATTTTGGTGGGAAAAGACATGTTTCAAATGGGCAAAATGTATCTTTTAAAGAGCCCTGCTTAACGAGGAAGTGCACATCCGACTTCGGTGGGCACCGGGGCCCCGATTCATGTCCAAGCAGTGCGGGTCTTTGCAACCCTTGGGCATGGGCTTGCACAAAACCGTTTTGTTTTTTTGGGGGGTGGCAGCCCCCTACGAAGAATAAACAGAACCAAACAACCTAAAAAACGTGCCAACAGAAGTGAAGCGATTGCTCCTGATTAAAATTCATCTCCAAACGAGTTTGAAGGACACCTCGAGAAGTCGGTGTGGCGGGGGGTCCTATGGGTCTTGCATCCCAGAGGGAGAGAAGCGCATGAAGCCGAGTGACCGTCCGTGCTTGGGCGTTCAACCAACGTCCACAGTCACACTAGTAATGACCATGCTTGTAACTTATAACTTAGCTGAATTCAAGACATCGTAAACTGAACGTTGTTGAAACCGTACGTCCACTCCTCAAACCACTCGTGCGGGCCTTAAAAAGCCCGCTTACGAGGTTTAAAACCCAGCAAGTCGGTTGAACATCCCAGCTGGGGCCTGGTTTGCAACCCACCTGCTCTGGTATACCAACCCAACGGTACATGTAACAAGGTCAAACCGCAGGTGGGTTGGAAAACAGGTCCCCTCTAAAGGAGGGTTTGCGGGTCCCATGTTAATCAAGAGTCCAAACAATCAAAGCAGGGTTCCCCCTCAAGCTTTCTCTTTCAACATCGAACCTGAAGGAAAATAACTTTAAACTGGCCCCAGAGGGTGATGTTGAAAACCACCCTTCAAGGAGAGAAATTGTAAGCTTTCCCCCTACTGTACCCTACAAGAAGCTGTGGTTCAAATCTGAATCCAACCCACCAATCCAAAGCCTACCTAATCGGTGGTTTGGACTGGTGGTTTGGATTTGGAATCGAACCCCTGGTTCATAAAACCCAGCAGCTTTGCACGTGTCTTTGGAACATAACCCTGCTCGCAACGAGGTCACAAATTCATCTGGGCCCGCCTTCTGCAGGTGCCGCGCGTGCAGTCCGTCCAACGCCTTGGACACCGCGTACTCTGCGAACTCGTTGTACTCCTGGGGCTTTTTTGGGATTCCTTGGCGCCTTTTCGGGGGGGTCTCCTTTTCCTCACATGGGGACACAGGGCGCCCAAACTTTGGCTTGCCACCATCATGGTTCAGAGCCAAGAGTGACTAAAGTCCACTTCACTCACGGAGTGAGTTTCCATTGGGCTCCCGCCTCGATCTCTTCCTTTCAGACCAAGCCCCCATTTTTCTTTGGGTCTCTGGCAGTCTCTTCAAAACGGAGGGTTTCTCCAATCCGATCTCCCACCCCTTTCAATAAAAAAAGCACGGCAGAAGGAACCCCTTCTTGGATGGTCAGGTAGGGAGCTAGCCATGGTTACAACTGGTGTAACTTGGGTTCGTCCACGGCTACGGAGAACGCGGCCCTTCCTGTGTCACCGGCCTGACTGGCACTAGGAAGCGTGACTGGCACCGTTGCGGGCCTCGACCAAAAAAAAACGACGGAGGTACCTGCCAAGAGTTGTTGTTGTTTTTGTTTTAGTTTGCAACCACTCACCAGGTGAGGAGCACCTGATTCAACCATATCACTTTCACATAGGTTGCCATCGACCTGCTCATGATTTGCACAAATTCCCGTCAACCGAAATAGGAAATCTGTCTAACGGACCTACATGGTGAGCTTGCCCACGCGCACCACACAAGTTCCTGTCTAAAAACCAACCGGCAATGGTGTCTCATGGTTTCAAAGTGCTGCGAAATGGATTTCGTCCATTCACAGTACGGCTTCTTGAAACCTCCGCCAGGAGAAAGTGCGCTAAAGGCCATGGCCCAAGTCCTGTCTCCTAGCAGAAACAAAACAGCCTGACGCCGGACCTTCAGTGGCCGTGGGGAAAAATCTGGAGCACCCATGTCCGGCTTCCAAGGGGAACCCAACCAAAAAGCAGGTCTCCACCGCGGGGAAGAGAAAGAAAACGAGCTTCTAGCAACTGGAAGCCAGGGGTGGTGCTTGGTGCCACCTAAAAAGAGCATCTACTAGTTGATGCTTATTTCCATTTGTGGGGGCAGACTATGGTCATGGCTCCAAAGAGAAGCCTCACTTTAGTTGCCTAAAATCCCTACTCCATGCCCAAACCACCCCGACACATGTATATAAAGCCACACATGTCAAACCAAAAAGTTGTCAACGTCTAAACTTTACGACCCTTGGTATGGTAGCAAACAACGTTGGTCTTTTTTGCAGCCCCCCCCCCACTCAAAATGAACAGAACCAAAAAACATCAAAACCTCCAAGTAATTACCGGGAACCTGGCTTTGTGGGCATCCTCCCCCGTCCTCCTTGGGGCAAGGAATCTTCGACACGTCGAAATTGTAACACGCGGCACCAGCCAAAGACGACAGGATCACCACCCGCACCTGCGCCCGACGGAAAACCAGAGTTTACGAAAGCGACATCCTCAAAATGACAACCTGCCGAGTCCTGCCTGCCATTCAGAAACCAAAAATCAGGAACCGCCAAGCAAAAGCACCAGCATGGGTGGCCGCGTGCAAGGCTGGATGGTCGCATTGCATAGTTGCATAGTATCATAGGGCTGGATAGTCGCCATTTGAGAAGATCTGGGAAACTTGGACTAGCCCGAATGCATTGCTTGGGCAGGGTGGCAATGAGGGGTTGCCGCAGGTTGCGCCAAAGCATGAAAGGCACCAAAAAAGGGGAAGTGTCCTTTGATACTCCCCTACAACCACCCCCCTTTTTGTTTGATAATCCCAACCTGACCTGTCTAAACAAATTGTAGGGGGTCCACACGTACTGTTGACCCAGGATTAGTATACCCGTCCCATTATTAGGGGGGTGTTCCCTCCAAAAGTGGTCTGAATCCCCAGTGAAAGGGGGCACCCATGGACTATGCACCAGTTGGTGGCCTCACTTCCTGAGTAGATTGGCCACAAAAAAAAGGCGCCCAAGCTTTCCGAAACAGTTTATTTAAAATCCAGGAACTCAGGGAGTGAGTTGCTTCAGCTGGCGCAAAGTAGATTTTGTCCATCCGTATCTTTAAGGATTCCAAACCGACCCCTATGTTTTTTGGCGGCGGTTCGCAAAATTCAAACTGTGTGTTGCTTGGAGAAAAAAGGCGCGCTTTCCCCAAGAAGCGCGAGGGTCTGCCTAGCCAAGTGTCTTGGAAGCCCCGAGCAAGGCGCGAAAAGCTTTGCACCTCGCCCTCTTCTTCCATAACCGAGAATGGGCTTCATTGCGGACAGCCCCTTAAGGCCAACTCGAAGTGTTCCACCCAAGTGACATCCTCCGATTTACCTTCTCGATGGTTGCTTAACCTCTTAAGGGAAATCACTGGCATCCAGGTCTTTGGTAATTGTAGAACGGGCCCCTCGAAATGTCAGCAGTTGAAATTGGACCCAGAAGTACCCCCCCGCCCCCTGACCCCAACTGGAACAAAGAAACACAGATCCCTCCTTCATTGTTCCCCTTGTTCCCATGAAGAAAACCTGTGCCCCAAAAACTGCCCTTATATAAGGGATTTCCCTCGGATTAATCTACTAGTCGGAGGCGGCTCCCCATGCAGTAAGGACATGATCTGTTCTTGTGAGCGTCTGGTGAACAGGGTCCGGATTACTCCAAGAGGCTGACAAACTCAGCCACACCGACATACTTGGATGTTCAACCAACTCAGCAAGCAGGTTCTAACCATGGTCCCAGCCTAGGTTGTCCAGTAGAGAGGTCAGAACAAGGGTGCCATTTTCTTTTTTCCTGTGGCCTATTTCGGTAGGGGAACCGAATCTCCCAACCAAAAAAGGGGTGAGAAAGGGCACCTGGAGGTCCTAGCCGCTTACCTGATGGCAGAACACCCACCTCCGACGTGGCCGCCGTCTCCTTGAGCTTCGGCATCAGCAGCTCGGTGAGCAGAAAGTGGCTCAGGTTGTTGGTGGCGAACTGGAGCTCGAAGTTCCTAACCCGAGGCGGTCCAACCGTTTGCTTCTCCTTCAAGCGTCACCCTGTTCAAGGAAAGGAAAGGCAACTCGCACCATGACCAGCCCAGAAGCTGATGCTTTTCAGCCTAGAAGGCGACCCTCCGTAACCTATGATTCAGGATTGCCTTTGAACAGCGCAAACTACCGGGTGAGTCTAAAAATGAGGGACCACAAAAAATGCCTGGTTTCCCTTTGGTTTCTTTTTACAACCATCCAAAAGCCGCATCCTAAAAAAAGACGAGTCGTCCATCTGATAACAACCCCCCCCCCCCCGTTTTTACGGAGCACGCCGATTTTTCGCAAACTGGGGGCCCGCGCTGCTTGGACGGCAGCCACTCGGTGGGCGACATGATGCCTGCGTTGCAGATGAGGTAGTGCAACGGCAGCTTCAAGGCCTCGAGTGGGCGCATTCCCAACCTGCCCCTCTTGCGGACCTGGAAATAAGGTTGACCCAGGAACAATGACCCCGTCCCATTATTAGGGGGGTGTTCCCTCCAAAAGTGATTCCCCACTAAAAGGGGACACCCCCTATTAATCAACCAGGGGTTTACTAATCCCGGGTTAACATTACACTGTGGATGGTTGCGAAATCCGTTCGCTCCGCTTGGAAACCCATTCAAAACCATCATGCGTTGGTATTTACAGGGGATTCCCTCTGTCACTTGCCCAGGCCCTGGACATATGTTCAGTTATGTGTTTGGGGCCTTAAAGTTTGCCGAGCCCCTCCGAATTGTGTAATTGATCCTGTCAATGGGAAAACCTTCCCAAAACCTTTTTTTCCTAAACAAAGGGTGCCACTGGAAAGCCTGCAAAAAACAGGCACCGCTCCTGGGCCTCTTATTTGCGGGTACGCTTTTTGGGGGCGGTTTAAGCGGAAGAAGGGAAGACCAACGAGGCCACTTTGGGGACCCCTGCCGTGACACAAACCCACAAGAGCCTGACGGGGGGGGGGGGGGGGGGTGGGGGGCAACACATCCGAAAGAAGTCGACCTGCTGAGCTTGAAATAGAAGATCCCTAAACTAAGGAACCCCAAGAAATCTAAGGAACCTATAAAGCCTTAAGCAACCCTATTGAACCATGAGGAACCTTGGGGAACCCCAAAGAACCCTAAGGAACCCTCGAGCCTCCCCTCTTAGAGATTTCAGAACTATCGGAAAAAGACACGTTGCCGCGCCAGAGACGATTGCAACTCGGATGGTCGAGCAGCGGCAGCCAAAAGCAACGCAAATGATGTGCAAGGCCCTTAGTAGGTTGGAACAAAAACATGGCTCCGTGGTCCAAAAACAGAACCCCCATCAAAAAAAGAAACGTGCCAAGAACAATGTTTAAACAAATAGTTGTCAAACTGCACCACCCCAAAATAGGGGTATTGAATTTAGAAGACAATTGTGAGGATGACGCTTTCATGGGCACAGAAAAAGGGCAGACTCAAAAAAAAAGATAGCAAGCAACAAGTGATAAAAACACTGCCAAGAAGGGAGACAAAGCCAAAGCTTTCAAACCGCACAATTTTGATGGGGGATGCCTGGATTTCCGATTGAAATGTTGCAAACTTGCTGTGTGGGGAAGGAGGTCTGATCTTTGTCATGGCCAGACATTTGACTCTGACCACCCCGAAGAAGGATCCCAGCAACAAACAAACAAACAAAGCAAAACTCAGACGTTGGGAATGTCAAAGAAGAACAGTGCCAACAACCCCGAAAAAGAAAAGGAAAAAAAGAAGAAACAACAAAAAAAAACGAGGAGTGTACAACCCCGGCGCAACCCGGTGGGGGCGGGCGCGGGTTCGCCTCCGCCCCCGGTTTTTTTTTGCATTGTTCTCCTCCGCGGCCGCGGTGCCAAGAAGGACTCCACGAAGGGCTTCACGGTGGTGAGGTCCGACAGCTCGATCTTCAGGATGGTCGCCTCCCCGGATGTCGCCCAGTCTCTGGCGCCCGATGATTTTTGTCCACTGGCTTCCTTCTCTAGGTCCTCCAGATTTGAGAGGCTAGAATAAGGGAGCTCCCGATTTTTTTCTGTGGTCTATTTTAGTAGGGGAACCCTCCTTCTGGGGGACCTAGTCAACCAACGTCAACTGGGCGGTCCGTTTTCAGAACCCCTGATAAAAGCTTAACTTGTGCCATCGTGTCCTTATTACCTTCCATTTGCTTTTTCGCCCCCTGGAAAACATGAGCATAAACCAATTCTTGAATCGCAAAGGGAAGGAAGAATCTCTAATGTGTTCAACGACCGTCAGGTAAGTAAGTTGTAAACAATGTTATACAAAGGCTCACCAGATTTCCCTAAGTCAAAACTTGATCAGTTTACTGGTGGAGTCCAACAAATTGCCGCTCTGGGAGTTGGCTACCTGCCTGACGTTGATTTGTCACATCCAAGGGATCGGAACCGTTCAATGCGGCGTCTGGTCCGTTTTGGTTCCCAAAAAAGGGTCGAGCCTACAAGGGGGCTGCCGCGACCGAATCGCAAGGCCCCAGATTTGTGGAGTCCCTAAGGGAAGGCCCCCTCCCCTAATAAATCCCAGGCCTCTCAACTACCCCCCCCCCCCCCCGGTCACTTCCGGAATGTCATTTTGCAGACGTCGGAGATGCCAAATCGCGAGGATCAGGGAAAACTTTATGGGAAGACAGACCTTTTCCATACGATAGTTGATCGACCGTTTGCAAATTCGCCAGGCTTGGAGCATCCCAGTTTGTTGATGCGCATTCTGAATGTTGGGTGTTTCTCAAGACACCACCATCAACAAAAGAGCCCACCGTTTTGAGACCTCCCATGCATGCCGTCCAAAAGAGGAATACCGATGAAATGCCATAATACCACCGGCTCGTCATTCTGCAGGCACTGCAAACGAGCAAACAGCCGGATGGCCACCTACCAACAAGCTATGAAGACCATTCTGGCTGTTTTGAAAATTTGAAATCATGCCCTGCCTTGGTTAAAAATGGGTTGCCTCAAAATAGGAAACCCCCAGGCAGGAACTGACCCCCGGCCTCCCCCTGGATTCCTTCAAATAAGTGGCCTTGATAGTTGTTCCCGAGATTACCTTGCTGCGCCGAAGCGGGGTTCCCATCCCTATGACAACTTCACGTTCAAAGGGGCCTCCGCCAAACCCGAATTGCCCACAATGAAACATCTAAGCAAACGAAGGGACAGTGAAGCTAGAACTGGAAGTCCAGCAGTCAGACTTAAACTGTTGCAGGAAGTGAAACTTGCTGGTTGGAAGGCAACAAACATGGATGTGCCTCGGAGGGTCCTCTGGATCAATCCGAAGTTAGCCTCACTTGCCCATGCCCGTACAGAACTCGTAGCTCCTGAACCGCTCCTTCTTCAAAGGCAATTTTTGATACCCCTAGCTCCGTGTCACGGCCCCCTTCCAACCACTAGCTAGCTAAAATGGTCAAAGTGAATAACTTCCACTTGCTGAACTCCTTTGAATAAAGATGTCCAGTAAAGAAAACGATTCCCGTTAAATCAAACGCAAATGGAAGCTCAAGTCCACTCCGCTGAAAGCGTGAGGCGTTTTGCGGGGCGGCGCTTCGGCCCTGGCGCTACGGCCCCTGGGCCCCTGCCTTGCCCGACAGCTTGCCCTCCTTCTTCTCCAGCTGACTCAGCACTGAGGCGGCCTTCTCAGGGCTCCGCACCGCCCAAATCACGTGGCAGCCGTACTTCATGAGACACCTGCGGGTGCGGACTTTGACGGCACCTTAGGGGGATGATAGGAATTTTAGGGAGACGCCCAAAAAACAACATCATCAAAAACAAAAAAGCACACATTTTTGTATGTATATATATATGTACATATATATATATAAGTACATACATGTATGTGTGAACATGTTTTCTTGAGCAAGGTAATAAGAAGCCTTCCACAAAAAGTCAAATGAAGGCCCCGCAAAACCCCCCCCCCCCCCCCGCCCCTCCCCCCCGCTTTGCATTCCAGCGCCTCGCGTTCTCCAGGCCCAGGCCGTTGCTGGCGCCGGTGATGAGCGCCACCTTGCCTCGGCGAATCGTGCCCGGAAGTGTCACTCGGAAGGGTCTCTCTGGGCGCGTTTTCTTTTTTGAAGTCCCAAAATTCCACCCAAGGAACCGCTTCCTGGGCGCGTTGTTTTTTTGAAGCTCCCAGAAGGTGCACCCAAGGAACCGATCGCTTCCCGGGCGAGTTACCCTAAGGGAGGGAAAAGGGAAAAAAACGCATGGATATTTGCCCCTGTGTCCGGCAGGTGGCTCTTTGCGGGTCAGTGGGAAAACTGCTTGCATTTTCAGCCAAAAGAGTTAACGGCCGAACATCGCAGCCAAAATGCCCTGCAACCCCTGGAAGTTGTCGCCGCAGACGCCCTGCACCACCTCCTCGGAAAAGCCGAAAACCGAGGCGAGTTAGCTTCTGCAAAGACCTCGGGTCAGTTTGCCCTTGACAAAAAAAACAGGGAGAGTACTGTTACTGTATCTGGTTTGGTTCTTGTAACCCTTTGGTGGTTGGGATTGTTGGCGGTTCAAAGGCCAGATTGCCCCTAACCTCCAAATCACCAATCCAGACCACCAATTAGGGGTACGGCGCTCCTCAGAAAACCCCAGCTGGCAAAGTCAACCCAAACTGGGGTGCTCAACCCATGTCATGTGAGCACGTACAACCGTGGTAAACGGGCGAACCCCAGTTACCTAAGTTATAGCCATGGTTGAAACCAACCTACTAAGTGGCCTGTGAACAGAAACCTGCGCCACCTAAGAAACGCTTGAATGATTCGACCCCCTGTGAAAACCAACAAATCATGGTTTCTCTTGGTTTCATAGTGGTTCGGATGTGGATGAAACCATCGTTGAGACTTTTGTTCGTTGGCATTTACAAGGGAATGAACTCATTCCGGGAATTCTGAACCCAGAATGATTCGATCCCCCTTGCAAATGCCTTAAACCCATGGTTTCAACCCATGGCTTCTCATCGTTGCCAGCGCGGACCGTTTTCGCAACCATCCCGCTAGGACCACCGAATCCTCGCAGGTCTTGCACTGGGAGGAGTGGATCAACTCGTCGAAGGCGATGGAAAAGAAGCCCGTGACGAAGCTCAGCAGCGTGGTCTTCGAGCGGACGCTGCGGTCCTCGCTCCGATACTGGCCTCATTATGTTACCATGATCAAAGTCACCCCCGTTCAGTGGTGGGTTGAAGGGAAGCAACTAACCATTTTCTGACTTTGATAACTGCCAGAAACCGTCAAAATGAAGACCCCAGTGATAGGTAGCGCCATGAGGGGGGAGAGGGGTGGGGGGGTTTTGGTCCGGTGCGGGACTCGATTCCATTGAACTAGTTACCATCAAGGATCTCCAGGGGTCGTTGTCAGAAAAAAAGGCTGAATGGAACAAATGGCTGTGGGTTGCAAAATAGGGTAACCCCAAAATGGCTTCTCCTGGAAAACGGAAACATTTCAACCAGAGGGCCTTGATGGTTTAATCTTGACCCATACCATCCCATCGGATGAAGCATGCCAGTCAGACTGGACTAGGTCCTCCAGTAAAGAGGTTAGAATAAGGATGCCAACTTTTTGCCGTAGTCTACTTTAGTAGGGGAAATTTGCGGGTGAAAGAGCAGGCACCTAGCTGGGGGACCTAGCGGAGGTTCGAAGAGAAGCTGCTTCACCATCTGCAAGAGATACCCATAGGCGATCGCCTCTTCCTTCAAAGCGCCAACCACGGCGCCCATGGCGAGAAAGGACGCCGGGCACCGGGCGACTTGAGCTTCCCACCGGCTCCGCACAGAAGACCCACCCGAGCATGATGAAACTTACACTTGTGTGGTTTCGGCTCCGAAGAGGAAAACAAATGCAAAGAAGACCCACCCGAGCATGATGAAACTTACAATTCTGTGTGTTTTATTTTTTCCGACTGGGGTCTGGTGGAAAAATATGACATGTGTGGCTGGAAGTGGCGGAAATTGCCTCTTGAACCCTCGCCAAAGAAACCTCGACTTGCCCCCGTGTCCATGGGGACGCGCAGCGGCTTCGAGTGACTCGACACGGTTTGGCTTGGCCAAACACATCCGCAGTTGCGTTTGCCACGTTCGCTGGCCTTCCCGAAAGTATCAAGTCCAACTAGGCCCTCCAGTAGAGAGGTTAGAATAAGTTGGTACCAACTTTTTCTGCAGTCTATAGTAGGGGAACCCTGTGGGTCGGTCGGCTCATCCTCGCTCGCCAAAAGGCCCCCAGACCCCTCAGGGACCTTTCTCCCCGCCTTCCAAGAAGCGGTGCACGGCGCAGCGCAGAGTTGCCTCAGCCAGGGAGGGGGTGGAGGGTGGTTGGGGTGGGTGGTTGGCTTGGCGGAAATCCCCAAAAGGTGAAGGACCGCCCTGGATGCGTTCCCCCAGTTACCAAACCAGGGGTGTATACATCGCGTCAAGCAAATGGTTGGAGGTGGGTGGTCCGCGAGCTTCTAAACTAGCACCTCGCCGGGGCCCAACCAAATTTCATGGGGCTGCCCGCCCCCTTCCACACCCATAAAATTCAACTCACCGCGCCGAAACAGGGGGGAGGTGGATTTTCCTTGCCGGGATGCCGGAAATACCTCCCCCCCACCCCCCCCCCACCCGAATTCCACACCCGATTTCCGCACCCTTTTAAATGGATGGGAGGGGGAGGTGTTTTTATCTGTCGAAAATGCTACAAACGGCACCCCCCTCCCCCGCTCCAGGTCTGCAAGAGCAATCGGAAAATGAAAGGGAGGTAACCAGGTACCCCCCCGACACGAAATTGGAAAAACAAACCTCTTCCAGGTGGTGTTCCATTTTTTCCTGGGACCCCAAAGCGGGATTCCACGCCGAACCCCCCCAAGCCGGAGAAAATGGAGTGGAAAACATCCCAAACCTACCTCACGCCCCCCTCATATTCAATTTTCCAGGCGGATATCGTCTAATCTTCCTCATGGGTGACATCGCAAACCTCCCTAGTGACGTCGCTACGATTTGCCCTGCATAAATAAAAAGCCTTAAATGGCCGCAACACTGGGGCATTGGCTTTTCACTTTTTTGGTCGGCTACTTGTCAAACGGTAGGATGGTGGCTTCGCAGCTTCACTGGCAACTCAACCCTATCCAAACCCGCGGCTCTGGAGTTTACCCAACACTTAGTGGTCCATCAATCCCTTCCTAACAAAAACACTTTTAGCAATATATGGGGGGGGCTGCTTTGGGAGGGCACCCTTTTTGGGGTTGGTTTAAAGGGAAACCAAAAGGCAAAGCACATTTTGACACAAACACATACACACACACACACACACACACAGAGACTCATGAGGCACAATGCAAATTTCCGGTTGGCCGGCCAAAAATCATCGCAAGGCGCCCGATCTTTCTGTAAATCCGACAGCTTCATTAACCCGCGCCTACAAGCCTGTGAGACGGTGATCTGAAGTTGCCCGGTGGGCCCGGAGAAAAGAAAGCCTACCCGCCGAAATGAACGCACAGCCCCCTTTGGGGGTCTGCGAGGGAGATGTTCTACACGAGGATTGGAGTTGGTTTCCGTGTGCCCTAAAAACAAAAGTTTACTCATGCTGAAGAGCCTTGTTCATGTTGGGCCCACCTCGCCCAAGACTTCCTTGCCACTGCAAAAACTCGAAACTTTGGTGCTGCTGGGGAAAAAAAAAAAAGAGCGGAACCCCCAAAAGCGCAAGAAGGCAAACCATGCGACTTAGCAATGACTCCTCAAACAGCCTTCGATGGCTTCTCGGCCAAGCCGCATACGCGAACAGCGGCGACCTGGCGAAAGGATCTCTCAACTCGCGGACGGCGCCTTTTTTGTCGTCCCGTGTCTTGGTTTCCTTTGCGCTGAAGAAAAGGAGTCGTGTTTTTTGATCTCAAAACGGACACACCCAACAAGTACGAGAACTCGAGGAGTGAGTTTGCCTTGAGGAAAAACAGGCCAAACAGTGGAAACTCCAAAATGTCGGTTTAGGCAATTCTCATCCTCACAAGTGGCACTCTTTTGGGGAAATAAAGGCTGGCCTCTAGTTTGTCTGTTTCGCCCCGGGTCCATTTAGAGAGTGGGGGTATTGGTGGGTTTAGGGCTTGGTGTCAGAATTTAACTTGGTTGCTGTTGACCCCCTGCAAAAAGTTGAACTTTTTGGGGGCTTAGTGGAAAACCGCTTGATTTCCCAAAAAGTTAAAGTCTAAAGATCCAACCCAATAGCAGTCAAGTCAGGAGGGGGTTCTTCTGATCTTCGCAGGCTTGGACACCCCAGATCTTCCTTCATCCCCACGGCTTGAGGAAAGTGCGTCTCATCTGCGAACCACCCCTGAAACCCCCGAAAAAAAGAAGCGCCAATCGCTAGCCAGCGCAAAGAAGGAGTACAGTACCCGCCGAAAATAGCTTGGGTTCCATTTGCTTTAAGCACTGCAAACATGAGCATATTTCCAGTAGTGATAGATTCCCTTTAAAACCAACAAGGGAAGACATATTATTAAGCAAATGGAAGCTGGCTTCCTTCTTGAGTCCCGTTTCGAGTCCCTCATTTGAGGAAATGCCCATCTGGGATCATGCCGAAGATGATCCAAAATGGCCATCGGACCTTGATTCTCGGAATCCCCTTTAGGCCCTCCAGGGTTCCACCCTCCAGAAACTTTCTCCGAGAAGCGCTCAGAAGGGTCCCTAGAACCTTTCCGGGTTGGGGGGGCCTTTTTCCACCGCGGGCGTCCGTCCCTTACTCCGAGTCCACCATGCACCGCTTGGTTGTGGCAAGGCTTTCTGGGTGGGATGGCCTGGAAGACACCAAGGCCCAGCTGCCGTTGCTAATTACAATACAAGCTTCCTTCCAATTGGCGGTTTGGAGCCCGGTGGCTTGCAGGGGGTGGTTTCCCGCGAGCCAGGAACCACCAATGAGGGTCAATCTGAAGAAATGGGCGCCTGCTTTCACGCTCTGAACCGAAAATGACAGCTTGTAGAGAGATTTTGTTGCACCCATGCGTCGCACCTTGTTACAGAGACGGATACCTAGCACGCCCAAGAACCGGCGCAAGGGCGCCGGAGAAGACGAGTCTCCATTCGGAGAAGGCCGGAAACGGAACATGTACAGCCCGGACCTGTGGGAACCAGAGGAAACAAAGGGAAGTGCCTTTGACTTCGAAGGGGCGTTTTTGGTGGTTGACCTTTCCAACCGTGCGCAGCCCCCTACTAAAAATGAACAGAACCAAAAGAACCAAAAAGCAAAAACCTGCCAACAACAGTGACTCCAGGGTACCACTCGTCCGGGATATCCTCCGGGATATTCCGGCTAGGCACTTTCACCTCGCCGGAGCCCTTGTTTTCCCGGGCACTACGCACCGCATTTCGCCCCGCTCGTCGCCTTGCCCTTTTCAGCTTCAGTCTAAATGGCTGTTTGGTGGTTAAGGGGTAGTTTCCCATTTGTCCTCTACAAGAACAAGAGGTCAAAATTGCCAAACCACCAATCCAAAACCACCCACTCATGGTTCCCTAACAATTGGTGGTTTGGACTGGTGGTTCAACTTATTGTTGAACCGACTAACCCAACAGCTTTGCACACGCGTTTTGGAACCCAACCTGAAATCTTTGATGCCAAAGTGGTTGATTCCCATCCCCAAGTGGTTTTGCATATCACGTTCAAGGGGATCATGCTATCGCTTTCGTAAACGCATCAAGCGAATGGTAGTCCGAGTTTCAAACGGTTGCAAGCGGGAACCTACCAACATCCCCCTATCAAAGAAACCTGTTTCCAGGTATCACAGAAGTGGACCTAAAACCCAAATATCCACAAATCCCATATATGTTGAGGGGCAGGGGGGGCAGTCCTCCAATTTTATTGTGAAGCAGGTGGGGGTATGTTCTCGTTAGTGTCTCTTGCTATGCCTAGAGGTACCCTCCCACCGACCAATATGGAACCTATCAGGGTCCTGGAAGACTACGTTCCTTTAAAATGGGCCTTTCTGTCGTTCCAAGCTAATTGGTGGGAGGGGTCTTATACACCGTGCTCTTGCAAACCTCAAAGCCTTCAACTTTTAAGCTCCATTTTTGCTGATCCTCATTCGATGAGTGCGGAAATGCACCGTGTGGCACAAAAATATGATCCGTCCCCTGAGGAAATGACATAGATGGGCCTATGTTCTCAAAATTGGGGACCGAAGGTTAGGTTGGTGGTGTCCTTTCGGTCCTTTTGGATTCCCCTTAACCCCCCCCCCCCCAAAAAAAAAGGACTATTTTACCAGCCCAACTTCAAGCATAGGAATATCCATTTCACGGACTCAATTGGGTAAGCAATGTTTCAGCGAAATGGAGGAACAACCACCGGCACGTTTCAGCTTTCCAGGCAGAAATTGTGCATCTTTCAGGTGCACTGAGGGATCTTCCGACTAAACCTCTAGGATGGAAACAATGGAAACCCCACTCCCAAGCCAGTCCCAGCGCAAGCTGGGGCCCATTGGATATGCAACATGACCTTTCAGAACTCCCGGCAGCTCCTTCTTTAAATTTAGATACCCCTAGCCCAACCACTAGCTAGGCCTTTAGTAGAGAGCTTAGAGTAAGGGTACCCGATTCTTTTTCTGCCGTCTATTTTAGTAGGGGGACCCTCCCAACCAAAAAAGGGGTGAGAGGGGGCACTACTGGGGGACCTAGCTGGTACATGGCCATGATATGTTGGCCGCACCCCACTTTCCCTGGGTCCGAGTGGTTGAGGAGTGGTTTCCCCATCGACATCTCACGGCGAACTCTGCTCCAAATGCTATGCCATGTGGAGAGCGAGCGAGCGCTGGCGTTAGGGCAGCGCAAACCTACCAAAAGGCCCTGCGGTAATTCATGGGAGGACAAAGGATGTTTGTTGCTCGACAAAAGAAGGGCCTCCCTTTCTTGATGGCTTTAAGGGGAAACCAGCCACGCTACAAAAAAGACACCCCAAATGGGTGTTTCCCAAAAGGGCTCCAGAACAAAATCTTGACTTGCTGGGAAACCCAATTAAAACCACCATCCAACATGTAAGAAACACATTCATGCTTGGTCTCTTGCCACTTTCCCCTTGGGTTACAGAAAGCCGGTGGTTCCATCCCCAAGAAAAAAGAAGGAAACAAAACACAACAGGGAAACCAAAATCACAGAATTCCAAACTTGGCTGCTGTTGACCCCTCTGCAAAAGTGTAAGTGTTTGTGGGCCCAATGGAAAACCCATTGTTTCCCAACAAGTTTGAGGTTCAAATCCAACGAAGTAGCCATAAAGGCAAATAACTCAGTTGCCCAAAGGACAGTTCGGGGCCAAAAGGAAACGGACCAAAAAGGGAAAGCCTATATTTAGGTCAGCTTCGGTCCGCTTCGGTCAAGCCAGGGAAGCTGTGTGGGAATTCCAATCCATTTAGGCCACCCCTAGCTGGCTCACATTCGCGTCGGGCACGGACGCGGACACGGAGTCGGAGAGCAGGCGACGGGAGGCCGGGCTCAGCGGCCTGGCACTGCTTGCTCGCCATAGGTGCCCTTTTTAGGTTGGAAATAGATGCTTACCCCTTGAAACTCCAAGCCCTGGGGAAGTTAATCTTTTACAGACATATAGCCCATGTTACCCAAAAAGTTGAAAAGTTGTTTTTTTAAAGAGGTAAGGATGGGTTTCCCTGGTCGATGAGAAAAAACCACCAGGTAAGCCAGGAATCGCCCTCGATTTTTCGACCAAAACCATGGCGATTGCTATGGGTTCGGTTCGCTTGACGTGTCTTTGTAAGACTAGGTCCTCCAGTAGAGAGGTATAAGGGTAGAGAGGTTAGAATAAAGGTACCCTATTTTTTCCGCAGTTTGTTTTAGTAGGGGAACCCTCCCCAAAAAAAGACCTAGAAGAGGTACCCTCCCAATTTGAACATGGAACCGGTCGACGTTCGCGGAATCGGTCCTGGACCATGTTCCTTTCAAAGGGACCGACCATCCGGGTCCCGAACGTAGGCAGCTTGATTGGTGGGAGGGTATTTGGTTGGTTTACTAAAAAAATGGCAACCAACCCAAGTGACGGAAGTCCGAAACGGAACTCAGGAAGTGAGGAAGAGGGGGTTGGGGTGACTACCATATCCTTGCAGAACTCATGGAAGTTCCTCAGCTCCCTCTTTAAAGGCGGAAAAATGTGGAAATATGCGTACGTATTTAGCCCTTTCTGTGCACCTTGCCACCCCCTTTGCATAGTGAATTGGGCTACAACGACCCTTCTGGCAAGAAACAAGCCCCACCAACCCCAGCCCATGTTTGCAATCCAACCACCTTTTCCGTAAGCAGAACGGTCAGAACAACCCACAAAAGTATTTTGAGACACCCCCCCCCAAGATGTGCAAGAAACTCAGAAATCCCACCCCCAACCCATCGCCTTTCCCCTCCGCCCCCAAAAAAAAGCAACCCGCCCCCCCCCCCTCCAAGCTCGCACCTGGGCAGCACCAAGCTGGGCAGCACGCGCCCAGAGGGCGACAGCTCCCGCCGAGGCCCGGGATTCGTCGCGACCACCGCCGGCAACTGCTTCATTCGGGGGAAGGCCGCCATGGCGGCGTAGAGCACCTGAGTCACTTGCTCAAAACCCGGGGGCGTAAAAGGGTCGTCATCCCACGCTTCAAGCATCAAGGCGGATCTCTGCAGCGATTTATGGCCAGGGGATTGTCCCTGACTAACCTTCATCTACCCGGGTGTTGATTGTCTCTCACCTGATGGCGCAAGGATGGGGGGAACTCAGCAGCCACAAGCCGTGGCTTCCCTGCAGGCACCTTCCCTTCCCTTCCTTGCCCTTCCCTTCCTCTATTCCTTCACTCCTTCTGATTAACCTAATATTGCCTTTTTTACTATGACTTAAAAAAAAAAAAAAAACATGTCATCATGATTGCGATTGACCTTGTATTGCTAGTATTTGTATTGTGTCACCGAGAACCGGTGTACATCTTCTTTGGGCCACTTTTGGATAGGGGTGCTCTGCAAGGCGGGACCGAGCAATTGGATGGAACAAACATGGGGAACCTGTGTTGGTTGCTTCTTAAAGTGAAACTCCCTTCAAACCGTCAAAAAGCCAGGTCGATTCACAGGGCTCCCTACCATTCCCCCCCTTCAACATCACCTTAAGAGGTTGAACTGGCTCAAAGTGGAACTACAATCAGCCCGGTGTTACTTCAATGTATTTCTTGCGAGTTCTCAGCTTTGATTGCCTTGGACAACTAGCGAATTACCTGCATTCTCTTCTTGTCTTTGACCAAACGCTGTTAAATTCCGAAATGAGTAGGCAATTCATTGTGCATATGAGCCAAAAAAGGGGCCTCCTTCCCCAAAGGAAGCTACCGTATTTGACCCAGCTTGACTCTGGTCCACATTTTGTGAACCCCAAAATGTGAAATAAGTTCAAAAGCCAATGCTAAAATATCTGAACACAAGTATGTCTTTTTCGCTTGCTGCAGCCAGCCCTGTGTGGAACCCACCCCGCTGTGGAGCGGGGTAGAGAGAGAAAAAAAAAAAAAAAAATCGTCTTGCCTCGAAGCATTATAAAACAAAAGCGGCTCCTCTCTAAGATGGTTTCCAGTACCCCGAAGCCACTACCCCCAACCAAAGTTTTATGGGAAACCAGCCACCATATAATATCATATAGTCACCGTATAAAGGGTGTGTATCCCAATTTACCCTGAGTGCAGTGGTTTCGCGGTGTTGGAAACCATCCTAGACCCCAGTACTCAGGAGACGGCAACAGCCTGCCATCAACCCAGTTTTCCCCTGTTGCGGCCCCTAGCCGCGGACAAAGAATACTACTTAAAGCCTTCAGTCCACTATCGGAAGAAGGGTAGAAAGGAAACTCCCACAGGGGCTTCAGTAACAACATGCGTTGGTATTTGGTTTTGTTTAATAAGGGCAGTAGGCGTTTTTCTGTCTGCGGTTCGCCTCCTGGTTGGTTTGGTCTATGCACTTGCTGCTTGCCGCTTGCATGGTCAAGGACTAGAATTTGACCACAATCCAGGAACTCAGAGTGTGAAGTAATAGAAGCAACCGCATTGTGCGCTTCTTTCGTGGGCGTTTCTTGTGCAAGGACTTCCCGCTGCTTTCCCACAGACAGCGCTGCCCCTCCACCACCCGCCGCCCAAGGCCCGCCGCCCAAGGCGTTTTCTCCGGTCTTCGCGCTGCTTGACCTAAGGCCCGCACGGAGCGCTTGGACACCTCCACGTAGCCCCAGGTCTCCGGCCAATTCACCGTCTCCCGCGAGCGTCTGGAGGCTGAGCGCTCGGAGGCGCGGCTATGGGTGCGCCCCCGCTCCTGAGGTCAGCGCAGCCAAGCGACTGGGATGGACAAAATTCGTTCGCACCACTTGGAAACCATGGGAAACCATTGTGCGTTCCTCTAGGGCCTCTTAGTTGGGGCAGGATTTCGTCAATCCACCGTATGGTTCTAAAAAAAGTGTTTGGGTAAATGGTGAGAAACCGGCGTGCCATCCAAACTAGCCTAAAAAGGACACCTACGAAGACTCCCTGGTGATAAAACGCGCACTTGGCGCCAAAACCAGGTCCCCATCTTGCAGTCCAAAGGCAAACTCTAAGCTCTTGGTGGTTTGAAGGACCTCCCCTCAAGAAGAACCAGGGGCTCAAATCCCCAAACCACCATCCCAACCAAATTCAAGGGTAACCACCTGAAACCTTCCGAACAAAACCCACTCCCCGGTTTCGCCTCCGCCTGCTCGCCGCAGCCGCTTACCGCGGCGGTGGAGGCCGCGGAAGACATTCGCGAGCCCAGGGAGATGATCTCGGACAAAGAGCCGTGGGACATGGGCTTGTTGCCCACAAACCTTCGCCAGCGGCAGCAGAAACGGCCACACTTTTGAAGCTGGAACGCCAGAACACATCCTGCAGCTGAAGGCCAAATAAGCCTCAAACAACAAGACTTCTAAGGTCTGGCTTAACCACTCAAAGGTAGCGCCACAAACCCTGGGCGATGCTATTTGGCAACAACAACCATTTGGGGGCCCAATTCCTACTTTCACGCCCACGCGTGTCACGGAGAAGCAAATGGCTTCAATCTCCAATTCCAACGTGCCTTCCCTCTCCAACACACCTTACCCAACTGCAATTCAACCCCACCACAACTCAACCCCCACGCCACCCCACCTGATTCCCAAAACCCCACACCCACCAGCCCAACCCGCTCCGTTCACCAACAACTCCCAAGCGAAAACGAAATTGTGTATATATTTATCTTTATATTTGCTCAGCCCCCCTGGTCTACCTTTTGCATATCATTCCTGGTTGAGTTGCCTCTTGAAAGATGCCCCACTTGTAGGTCTTGCGTATCCTTCCTCATTCGCAAACTTAGATTAATTATGTTTCCTTTCAAAATCGAGCTCCCTAGTTTACATGCGGCGACTCAAGGTCTAATGATTTTAACCAAACTTCTTATGGAAACGGAATTCATAGGTGAATTCGAAACGACATTAAAATGCTGCTTAAACTCCCCGAACACACTCTACTCAAAAACTGTTGGCATGAAAACAGTGTTTGGAAAGCAAACCCTCTGTAAATTCTCTTTTAGAATGGGGTTCTGATTGAGATTTGCCACTCGCAGCTCATTGCATATCATTCCTGCCTGCAATGCGCCCCGCGGGAAGAAGAGAAACAAACCAGGTCAACCGCGCACAGAACAGAGAACCGCACTACACCACAGCGCTAGGAGGAGGGCCGGTGCCCCTATCCTGCCTGGGCGAGTTCCGCGAACAAACTCAGCAAGAAGCTCCAAAGCGCGGACCAAGGAAAAGCAAGTAAAGGAGAAGAAAGCAGAACCCGACACATACCAAGTCGTCCTTCATGTTCTCTGCTTGGGGGCAGTCCCGGCGGCCCAAAACCTGCAACAACGCCTGTGCTGCGCCAGATGGCTGACGATGGGAAGAGCCAGGATCTTTATCACATTTCGACTTGGAGCACGCCAGCCCTGTCCAAGAGCCTCTTGGCAGTGCGCTGCAACCACTCTCTGGTTGCCCGTTGACGGCATCGATCCGGTCATGGGTCGGTCCCTTGCCCAGCTGGCAAGCACCTGTGAGCCACGCGTGAAGGTCCAAGCGACGATCACGGCTACGCGTAGGCAGCATGGCCAAAATGCACAGACCAAGCTTTAGCCAAAGACCAGCGGCACACGCGGAGCCGAAGGTGACGAGTGGCAAACTGGGGCGCGTCAATAGAATCACAATACAGACGAAGACAGAAGTGTCCCGAGTCCACCAGGAAGCGTCACATTTTTTTCGAGTTCCTTGACTGACTTATTTCTCACTTCCTGAGTAGTTGGCCCAAAAAAATCCAAGCTGACTCAGTTGTCCACTACAATTGCCTTCCCAAGGTTTTTCACGTCCAGGAACGCAGGGAGTAAGCCTTATCTCAACAAAGCCCAGCCATATGGCCATGGCTCAAAATCCAAACCGTACCCCCCAGTGAACATCCCAATCCCCACTAAAAAAGGTTCTAAAATGGGTGGTGAATTCACCTACCAACCAAAATGGTACCATTCGTTTTCGCCCCTTGTAAAAAAATAAAATATGTCCAGTAGTGATCGATTCCTTTCAAAACCAACAGGGGCAAATCTTCTCAAACAAGGGGAGGAAAGGTGAGGGCGCCTAAAATTCCGCAAAATTCATGGCATACTTGGGTGTTTAGTCAAAGTCAGGAAAGCAGATTGTAGCCATGGCTGTAAACAAATGGGAGATAGCCGCAACGCCACGCAACGCCGGCAGGGGCAGCGTCTTCTGCTTCTGCACTGGCGGCGGGTGCGACCCCAAGGGAGCTGCAGGCTCAGGCGACACCTCTCGACCAAAAGCGGGCCTTTTCGAGGATGCACCCAGCTGGAACATGTGCATGAAGCACACCCCCTCAGACATGGGTATGGCTCAAAATTACAGAGCTACGGTTACGCTGGTTTTAGTCGTTGCTTCCATTTACCAAGGTGCCTTTTTGGTACATGTTTTTGAGCCACAGCCACATGGAAGCTCCCAGAAGGCCTCTGTAAATGGAACCAAGTCGTTAAGGGGTCCTAGCACCCAGACATCAGCTGGAACATGTGAGTTGTAATCAAAACCCGGTATTAAAATGGTCGTAATCCCAGAACCATGATTCAAAGAATTAAGAAGATATCCGCAGCTATTTATGGCAAGGGGATTGTCCCTTGCTAACCTTCATCTACCCGGGCTCAAGAATGGGAACCTTGTAAATGGACAAGTAGACTCAACCTGCGGCCCCCTGGCTCTTACACTTTGATCCACACCCATGCAGAAACCGTCAACATGGCCAATCGAAGTGGCAAACGTTTAGCCAACATGCATCCTTTCAGGAGACCTGACAACGGCGAAGGAGACCAAAGGCTCGAACGCCCGAACTCCGCACAGGCTTGGAAAGCCCGCTTGAGCTGAAATCTGAGGTCTCCAAAGATTCAAACAGTTGACCTCTGGTGGCAACTGTCCAACAAATTTCCGCGTGTCGACAAATGGCTCTGCCTCGAGAAAATGACAACATGCCAACTCGAACGAACCAACTCTAAGAAACCAACTCCAACAACTCTCCCAAGTCTCATGAAACATCTTAGTGGCCCGCTGAACCCTTGCCAAAGCTAAACTTTTTGTGTGATATGCCGTGCCGTAAATCCCTCTCAAATCTACTAGGCTCTAAAAGTGCCGGGGTATGACATATGGCTGGAAAGTGCCGAGTGTCCAATCTGTCGGAGGCTTCCCTTTTTGGGATGGTGAAAGAACACCCACCGAGAAACAAAAAACAACTTTTGAGGGTCCGAAATGGCAATCCAAGTCGGAGACATGGGTGAGAAGGGGGTAGAAATGGGGAAGAGGTGGGGGGAGACATGAGGGAAGACCTAAGGGTTTTCTAGAGAGCCTTCCCGCTGCTCCTGTTTCTTCGTTTCTTGCCCACATCCGGAGCACACAGCAAACCATACCCTCCTGCCCACTAATACCCACCAAAGGGCCTCTTTTTGAGAAAACTGGCCTTCCATGTTTTTGAATGGAAGGGCATGTTCTGATTCTGTATTTCGTCTACCCCCCCAAAAATGGCAAAACAATCGAGAGGGGGACGTGTTTAGGGGTGCAAATCTAAGCTTTTTTCGGGAGGGAAAAAGGGAAATGCCAGGGAAATATTAAGGGATAAGAAGGGGAATTCTCAGGGAATAGTAAGGGCATACTACGGGAATACTAAGAGAATACTGAGTAAAGGAACACTAGGGAAACGACAAGGGGATAAGAAGATAATACTAGCAAAAATGCAAGGGGGAGAATACTGGAGGTATACCAAGAATACTGAGGAGTACGAGGGCAATATATATGTATATATAGGGGTAAGAGAATGCTAAAGGAATGGGGAATACTTGAGGAATGCTCGGGGAATGCTAGGGGATTGTCAAGGGAAGACAGGGGAAGTGCTAAGGGTGAATAATAGGAAAATACTACGGAATACTGAGGCGATACTTGGGGAACATTAAGGGCGTACTGAGGGAACACTGAGGAACAACCGAGGGAATGCCAAGAGGAATATTCGGGGAACACTGATGGGATAACAGGGAAGTATGTGGGGAATACTGAGGTCAACACTAGGAGAATACTGGGAAATTGCCAAGGCAAATGCCAGGGGAATAGTGATGGAAATTTGAGGCACGCTGGGAGGAAAAACGCAAAACCAACAAAACATTGAGAAATCGAAAATTCAGACTCAATATCAAAAAATCCTCGCGAAATCGGAAAAAGTCAGGGACGCGGTTCTGTGGACCTCCCCTTTACTCTCGAGGTGTGTTCCGATTTCGAGTCACATTCGATCTCTCGAGGTTCTTCTTTAACTCGGTTGCTTTCTACGAAGCCCTGCTAAAAGTTTTTAACTTTTAGTGGTTTAGTACGGAAAACCCGACTTAGTGGGCAAAAAGTTCTCAAGTCCTAACATCCCTTGGCAAAATGCGCCAAAGCTAAAAATTGTTCTGAGGGCATGGTAGCTCCAGCACATCCCCTGAGAGAAATTCTGCTTTTTGCTCGATTTCCCAAGGCTCTCGCTGAAAGATGTTGTAGACGACGCAGTCAGCGAACAAGCAAGAAATGCGTGCGGCTGGTGACAACCAAAAAAACGCTCCTGCTCGGTTTTGCCTTAAACCCTTTTTTGCCAGGGCATCCTTTCGGCTTCAGCCCAGTAAACCCTGCAAAACCAATTCAAGTCGGGCCCAAAAACCCACTGAAACGTCCCCACCTCTGAAGCAAAGGCTCGTAGAAGGAGACCCCAAGCTCCCCAGCTCCCAGCCCCAAGCTCCAAGCCGAAACCGTTGGAGCCAGGCAAATCGCCCCAAACACAAGGTTGAACCTAAACCTGAACTCATGCTTGTTGAACCTGAACCTGTACCCCTTTTTCTGTAGTCTTTAGTAGGGGAACCCTCCCCTTTCCAAAAGAAGGGGGTGAAAGAGCGGGCACCAATTGCTGGGGGACCTAGATTAGTTTCACAGTTCAAAAGCAACTCTTGGTAGCTGAATTCATGCTTGTGGATCAAAAGCAAAGCGGTTTTTGATGCGTCTTCAGCCCCTGCGGCCCCTGACGCCCCGCGCGGCCTTGGGCACGCGGAGTTCCAGCTCCAGGGAGGGAGTGGGCGCCGCGTCAAGAGGCGCACGCGCACGCGTGCTCTCCACGCGCTCCAGGATGCTGGCAACGCCTCCGACGTTCGACCCCAAAGAGGTTTTGGGGGGCGGCCTCCGGGCTTCCTTTTCTGTTTTGGGGCGGGGGCCAAGTGTTCTTGTGCTTTTTTGTTTGTGTGTGTTTGTTGTTTGTTGTTTTACCCTTGTTCTTCTTTTGTTGGGGGGGGAAGGGGGAGAAAGGGGAGAAACACCCGTGTGCTTTTTGCTGGGGCCTGTCTACACCAGTGCTTCTCAGAATGGTGCCCCCCCCTTGTCTTGGATTTTCTAAGGAATCCAGAAGGAAACCAACCGTCCTCCCCGTTTGGGTATGTATTTTAACAAGCCACCCTATAAACATCCGTAGTATTTCCCTTTGTTGGACCTCCCAAAGTGGCAGTTTCACTTCCCACCAGTAGAGTTAGCCCCCCCTCAAAAAAAAAAAAAAAAAAAAAAAAAAAAACACACACAAGAACCTCTGGCTCGGAGGCTGCGCCCTGTTGACGGTAAGGGGGAACCAGAAGGAAGTAGACCATCTGAAGGGGTCAACTTTTGATACATCCGGAACATGCCAACGATGAAATCCTGGAGAAACGGCTGGTCGCAAGGTGGCTGCTGCTCTTCGTTGCCTGGTCTCTAACCATCTCTAATTGGTGGGGCGCCAGTCCACTAGATGCTGAACAACCCAGACGAAAGGGCCTCCCTTTGCCCCAACACCCCTAGCGTCCATTTGCGCTGGTGCTCCTTCCTTTGGGATGCGGAAAAGAGGCTGCCGATCGTTTAAGAAAAACACACTACCTCCAGGTCCTAGGAAAGGTTCTTGGAGCCTTCTCGGAAAAATTCTCTGGAGGTCATGCTGGAGGAATCATTTGGGACAACTTGGTTGTGGCCACATGGTTTTTTGAGGTGCGCCAAACAGAATCCACGCATCATCTGCTTTTGCTTGCGCAAGCTTGCATTTCTGGGAGAACTCAAAAACCCCTTCCCGTCCCACACCAAGCAAAAAGAAAACAAAAGGACCCCCCACTGGACAACTCACGGGCTTCCAAGAGAATCCCAAAACAGACCTAAACTGGGCTGCCCTCAGACCCCCCGCTAGAAGTCTAACTTTTAGTGGGTTCAGTGGAAATGCCCACTAGACACTAAAAGGCTAAAAAGCTAAGGCGATGGATGGGAGCCAACAAGTAAAACGAGAGGCATCTGACTTGAAAAAAAGCCCCCGCCCCCCAAACTGGAAGCTGGGCGCCCTGCTCTCCCGGCGCTCTGGGGTGTCATCGAGAATTCCCACGCCGCTGAGCCGGGAAGTCATATGCCGCAGCTTCCTTGGCCATTGCTCCGCCCAAAAGCGAAGGCTTGTTCGCCGGGGCGGAAAACAACTTGCTGGTGCCATAGGTGCGATAGGTGCCACAGGTGCCATAGGTGCCATAGGGGCGCAACACAACTTGCTGGTGCCATAGGTAGGGAATGAGAAATTGCATAAACCCAGGCTTTGGTCCCCTTAAAGGAAACCACCAGCGGGATGGTTTATAAGGGTCATTCCCTCATTCTCTGCTCAGCAGGACAATGAATAACGAAGGCATGTGCGACCCTTCAAGGCGAAATATCCAACCAAATAGCAGCCAACACAAAATGCATCCGATACCAGTAAAGCTGGCAAAGCCGCTGGGCGGAAGTCGGCGGCAGCTTCGAACATACATAAACTATACTTATGTTTCTCGTTATGTTCCTTTTTTCTCTTATCGCTGTGTGTTATCTTTCTTTTCTTATTCTTGTTTGCTCTTTCTGTTTTTATTCGTTGTGTTTTTTGTGGTTGTCCTTTGGTTCTTCACTTATTCCTGCAACTAGTTGTAGTGATTGATTGAGTTATTTGTCTATGCATTCATTCATTCATTCATTCATTCATTCATTCATTCACTCACTCACTCACTCACTCACTCACTCATTCATTGATTCATTCATTCATTCATTCATTCATTCATTTCATTCATTCATTCATTTATTCATTCATTCATTCATTCATTCATTCATTCATTTCATTCATTTCATTCATTTTATTTCATTCATTTTATTTCATTCATTTTATTTCATTCATTTTATTTCATTCATTCAATTTCATTCATTCATTCATTCATTCATTCATTCATTCATTCATTCATTCATTCATTCATTCATTCATTCATTCATTCATTCATTCATTCATTCATTCATTCATTTCATTTCATTTCATTTCATTTCATTTCATTTCATGTCATGTCATGTCATGTCAGTTCATTCATTCATTCATTCATTCATTCATTCCCTCCCTTCCCTTCCCTTCCCTTCCCTTCCCTTCCCTTCCATTCCCTTCCCTTCCCTTCCCTTCCCTTCCCTTCCATTCCATTCCATTCCATTCCAGTCCATTCCATTCCATTCCATTCCATTCCATTCCATTCCATTCATTCCATTCATTCCATTCATTCATTCTTTCATCATTTCATTCATTCATTCATTCATTCATTCATTCATTCATTCATTCATTCATTCATTCATTCATTCATTCATTCATTCATTCATTCATTCATTCATTCATTCATTCATTCATTCATTCATTCATTCATTCATTCATTCATTCATTCATTCATTCATTCATTCATTCATTCATTCATTCATTCATTCATTCATTCATTCATTCATTCATTCATTCATTCATTCATTCATTCATTCATTCATTCATTCATTCATTCATTCATTCATTCATTCATTCATTCATTCATTCATTCATTCATTCATTCATTCATTCATTCATTCATTCATTCATTCATTCATTCATTCATTCATTCATTCATTCATTCATTCATTCATTCATTCATTCATTCATTCATTCATTCATTCATTCATTCATTCATTCATTCATTCATTCATTCATTCATTCATTCATTCATTCATTCATTCATTCATTCATTCATTCATTCATTTTCATTCATTCATTCATTCATTCATTCATTCATTCATTCATTCATTCATTCATTCATTCATTCATTCATTCATTCATTTCATGTCATTCATTTCATTCATTTATTTCAGTCATTCATTTCATTCATTTATAGATTTATTCATTTGTGTATTCCTTTACTTATCTTTGTTGCCTAATTTATTTGTTTGTTTTTGTTTGTTTATTTCTTTCTTTATTTATTTGTTTCTTGATTTCTGTATTTCGTTATTGTTTATGTATTTACTTACTTCACTATTATTATATATCTATTTCGTTATGTACTCATTTATTTCTTTATGGTTTGTACTTCTGTGTGTCTTCGTATGCCTTTATATATATATATATATATATGTGTATTTCGTTACTTATTTATACATCGATTTCTTTTTTGTTTCTTTCTTTCTTTATTTCTTTCTTTCGTTCTTTCTTTGTTTCTGTTCTTTCTTTCTGTTCTTTCTTTCTGTTCTTTCTTTCTTTCTTTCTGTTCTTTCTCTCTTTCTTTCTTTCTTTCTTTCTTTCTTTCTTTCTTTCTTTCTTTCTTTCTTTCTTTCTTTCTTTCTTTCTTTCTTTCTTTCTTTCTTTCTTTCTCTCTTTCTTTCTTTCTCTCTTCTCTTCTCTTCTCTTCTCTTCTGTTCTCTTTTCTTTCTTTCTTTCTTTCTGTCTTTCTGTCCTTTCTTTCTGTCTTTTTTCCTTCCTTTCTCCCTCCCTTCCTTTCTTACATTTGCTGTATGCAGTTATCTACTTATTATTTTGTTAAACTAATTGTTTATATACTGCTTATTTGTGCATCTTGTTTTCTTTATCTATGTCGTGCTTATCTCCTTTTTTCAGTACATTTTTCTTTCGTTCTCGTCTATCCCTCTATAAAGCCATCTATTTATCTATCAATCCATCCATCCATCTACTCCATCCACTCGATCCACTCTTTCTGTCTACTTGTCTACCAATCTACCTCTCTATCTTCTGCCTAGTTGTCGAACCTATCTACCCCTCTATCTGTCTGTCTGCCTGCTTGTCTGTCTGTCTGTCTCTGTCTACCTGTCTATCTCTCCATCTCTCCATCTCTCCATCTATCCATCTATCCATCTATCCACCTAGCCACCTATCCATCTGTCTACTTATCTAATCAGCGCGATCAGGCAAACTTTCGACCATCCCAAAGAAGCGAAACCCGCAAAGAGTTGCACTTTTAGACAAGCCTATTCCCCAAGCTCATGTTATATATATATATACATTAGTTGCCATACAGCTCCTTCTAAACTTCCTTTGGCCAAATAGCTGTTCGCTGCCAGTGCGGCCGGGCCAACAAGATCTAAGATCCGCCCAGACAGGTCTGCCAAGCTTCGAGGTGTGCGTTTGGCCCAGGGAGAGCTTGGCAGACTCTTTGAGCTGGCACTGCAGCTCCTGACCAGCAATCCCCCCTACCTTAGGGGGAGGGGGTAGGGGGTCCCCCAATTCCTTTTTTCCAGTCATCGCCATAAAAGGGAAAATGGAACTACAAATGGAATTCCAGGGGTCACCCCCTCCCTCAATTCCATTTTTAAGGGGGCGGGGATCAGTAAAGACAGAGAGACCCCAATTACAAAAGCGAGTCCGACATTCACTTGGCGAGAGAAAAAGAGAGAGAGAAAAGAGATAGGGACAGGAACACAGACCAGGCAGAAAAGACTGACAATACAGACAGGGCCCCTTTGCAAGAAGTTGGACTTGTTGATGCTTGGTTGGGAAAAAAGTGTGCCCCCCTAACGAGACTTGTTCAATGAACATGAGTCGGCGTTGCTGTTTGTCCTTTCTTCTTCTTCTTTTTTTTGGGGGGGGGTGGGTGGGGGCGTGTCAATCCGCAAAACGAGTAGGGCAACAAAAAAAGCGAGCAAAAACGCCCGGGAACCTTCGGCCAACATGGCGCCAACTCGGATCTCCTCCACCTGCCACATGATCTCGTCCACCAGCCTCTCGATGTGCTCCTCGTCCATGCCCAGCATCTCCTCTTCAAGCCGCTCGGGGCTGCAATGCGCGCAGGCCAGGCTGGCCACTCGAAAGGAGATTCAAATTGGTCCGAAGAACGGGGGGGGAGGAAGGGGGAGGGGGGGGGGGGAGGGGGGGGAGGAGGGGGGAGGGGGTTGAACCAACCAAACCACCGGCAGCTTTTGAAACACTTGTGTTTCATTTTGGGCCAGCGAACCCTCAGAGGCCAACATCAGTTGGACACGGAAATGATGCCCACTTCGGATTCTAAACAGGCACAACTCTGGAGTAGTCAGGGGCGGTGACGGGATTAATCGGTGTCATCTGGGATGTTTGCGTCAAGCCACATTTTTTTTGGGCTGTGTACCGCTTTGTCTGGCCATCTACCCCCACTTCCCGAGGAAATTGTCCGAGTGGCCACAAAAGCTCCCATGTCCTTATCGAGCGCCTGGGCTTCCTTCAAACCAGCTGGAAAGTATGAACTTACTTCCGGACTACATGGGTCTTCCCCCAACGTGAGTCCAGAAAACCTTGGGAAGTGCCAGAACCTGAGTCTGCCAAATCCCACCCGAGCCGGGGCCCTGTTTTGTTTGGGCCTGTTTCTGAGTTGTTGGGGGCCAGCCACCGCTCCTTGCTGTGTCGTTGCTCCCTTGCTAAAAGTTACACTTCTAGTCCTCGACTTGCTTAAGAGCCCCCTGGAACAAAATGAGAAACTATGTGCCACTGGTGGCATCGCTTCTCTTTAAAACCAACAGGGGGAAAATGATAAAAGCAAATGAAGGTAGAACAAGACTCGCCTCACAGCCCAAACAAGGCGAGCAGCAATTTTCCCCGTGGGACGTATCTTAAATCCCTCCCTCTCAAAGTCCAACAGTCGAAGGCTCTCACTTCCTGACCGCAAAAGCTTGAACCTTTGCCACTGAACTGGCCCTGCCAGGCTGCAAGTCAAAAGAAACTCCGGGACGCAGGTGTCCTTTTTGGAAAAAAGAAATTCCCCGATAGATGATGTTTCACCACCAGGGAATCCAGAAATTGCCTAACCTTCTTTAATCAACCAAACCAGCCGAAAAGGACACCTACGCTCAGGGAATGAGAAGTAGATCTCCTTTAAAACCGAAAAAGTGAAAAATTAAAAGACTCTTAATCAAATGGACGTTGTTTTTTCCCCCGGTCAGTGCCTCGGGGTTGGGGCTGCTCTGGATGTGCAGCAGCAGCTCGTCTCGCAAAATGCGCAGGGAAGTGGGGTGCGTCGCCGTGTTGTCGTCCGGGTTCAGCACCGCTTCGCAGAGCAAGGCCCCGACCTCCGCCATGTCCACCATCTGCAGCTTGGTGATCTCAAACAAGATGTTGGCGATGCTCTCCTCGGGGCGAAACAAGAGAAAAACGCGCTCGCGTCCTTCGCATGGCGGGCGGAAGGAGAAAATATCGCCGCGCCCAACCCCCCCCCCTCCAAACAAAAATGCAAGACAACAAAAAAAAACACCACGCCAAACCAATTCGGGCCATGGTCAAGACTGAGAAGGACCCAAACTAGAGGTGCGCCTTACGAAGAAACACCACCAACACCAAGAGGTTGTAGCTTTGGCTCGCCAAGTGGCAAGCGATCAACCAACCTTTTCGCCCAGGGAAGCTTGCCAAGGTTCGTCCATCTCCTGCGTCACTGAAGCCATACCTGGGTTGATCCGTGCGAGTCTTCTCATAGGACCCAGCCCCTGCCCAAACCCTTTGTGCGACTTTTGGAGAAACTTCCGCCGTGTTCGCACGGGCTACCCTCTCGCCCACTGGAACCTGACAAGGGCGGCCCCTGAAAAACAATGGCCCGCAGCCATGCGGGTGGCCTTAGGCCAATCGAGAGAATCGACAGATGAATCGAGAGATTCATGCTCTGCTGGGTGGCGAGGCGTTCCCGGGGGAAAAGTTCCCGTTGACCCTCAAGCCAGGGGCCCCAAGTCCCCAAGCCAAAAGCCACCCCGAGAGCAAAAGGACCCAAGAGCAACGGTCGAATGTTAACCTTACCCCTTAAAGCTCCCTGCGCCCTGGGGAAGTTCTCATCTTTTACAGACATATAGCCCATGTTACCCCCAAAAAGTTGAAACGTTGTGTTTTTAAGAGGTAAGTAACCCCGGATTAATAAATCCCTGGTTGTCCCCTTTTAGTGGGGGGATTCATCACTTTTGGAGGGAACACTCCCCTAAGTGGGACGGGTGTATTAATCCTGGGTCAACATTACCCAGACATGGTCCAGTACCTTTGAAATTCAACTTCCTCACTATCTTGCCAGGTGTTCCAACCATGAAAGCTGCGTGTCCCACCTCGGCTGTTGCCCCCAACCCAGACCAATGTGTGTGCTTCTGCGTATTGAGCGAAGCTTCAGGCGCATCTGTCCGAAAGAGATCTCAGCTTAAGGGCCTGGAACCCCTGTCCAAAAGCCGAGTCCCTCCCAAAAAAAAACCGTTTCCCTGGGGTGAATCCAGGGTGAATATAACCACCATGGCGTTGCCCTTCGGAAATGTCATCCAAAGTGGGTCCGAAGAAATGGGGGCTTAGAACCCCGGGGAAGTTTTATGGGGTGTCACGTTCATTTGCCGGGCACGCCCAAAGTAAGAGCCACTGCAGGTTTCCCCAAGCCACATCCAAAAGGGCACGCTCACAGAAACACATGGCCGCTTCGCAGCAACTTCACTGGGGTCCTTAAAGGATGCATCCCGTCACCAGGCAGATCCGCTACATCAGTTTCAACTGGGTCCAGCTAAGTGACATGTTCAAACCTACCCTCTCCAAATGGTCGTTTAAAGGGAAAACCCGGAGTATTTTTAGAACCCCTCAAAATGTTCACTTTCATATGGCCAGTTTGCGGATCCGACACCCTGCCAAAAGGTGACAACTTTGTTGCTGGAAAGAAGGTAAGCGATCCGTCTGGCAATGTGTTCCTTGTGTCCCTTGCTTTCCTTGGGTTTCCACTGGTTTTCCATGCTTCCCTTGGATTCTTTTGCTTTCCCTGGTTTTCCTTCTTCTTCCCTTGTTGTTCCCTTGGTTCTTGTTGTGTTTTCCATTTGTGTCCATCGGTTTCCTTGGTGTTTCTTGATTTCGGTTTTCTTGGTTTCCTTGGCTTCCTTTGGTTTCCCTTGGTTTCCATTTGTCTCCACTGGTTTCTTTGGGGAGCCAGCTTCAGTGCCGGAAGCCGAGACACTTCCCCGCAGCATGGTGCCAATCTCCTCGACGATGGCTTTCTGCAGGCAGTGCCGGTGATACGCCTCCTCAGCCGCCTGACCCAAAGAACCAAAACCAAAACCCAGGCGTTCCCCCCCCAAAAAAAATAAAAACCTATGGGTGTGGCTCAAAATGAAACAGCAGGGACAAATCGCAGGTGTTGGTCCATGTTTCCACTTGCCAGGGTTTCACTTTGGCACCGTTTTTTTTAGCCACAGCCATATATGTATACTTGTATAATTGTACAATACTACTAATGTTAATCATACTGGTGGTGGTGGAGGTAGTAGTAGTAGTAGTAGTAGTAGTAGTAGTAGTAGTCGTAGTAGTAGTAGTAGTAGTAGTAGTAGCCGCATAGCAGTAGCAGTGGCATGACTAATACTACGATTTTTGCAATCAAAGAAAAGGAAGACACATTTTTAGATTCTGCCAAAACGCAACCTAAAACCGACTATTTTTAAAGTTGGCCAATGGAATGCTCGATTGCCTTTTAAGATCCCAGCAAATCATGGTCAAAAGCCAGGCTCAAAGTGGAGCGTGCAACATCTGACCCGATAGGCCCAAAAAGGACGCCTAGTCTTCCATGAGTGCGGTGCCCAAAATCGACGAATTCTGAAAAGCAAATTCAAAGAAAAATACACACACCTGAGGTTTGGTTGACTTTGCTGCCGGTGGCCTGTGGTCTAGTAGGAGCGGGACATCACCCAACAAAACCAGGGGACTCACTACATGGAGGTTCGAAGTTTCCAACTTCTGGGTGTTTCCCCAGTTTGGTTTCATCCCCCGGTCGCATCAACTCATAGAAGAGAAACATAGGAATCAACCCCCTCCACTGCTTAAGTCTCTGGAAAAAAATGTGTCCAGCAGTGAAAAAGGCTCTTGTAAATACAATGGGACATTTTCACATTTTCATTTGGGCGTGTCGTTTTTGAGGGTACCCCTTGGTTGGTGGCAAAGGGAAACTAAGAGGAAACCCACCTTATTCAAAACAGACAGACACACCATGGAATCGAAAGGCTCCTACCATATCCGATCGGCAGCTCCAAAAGGCTCATTCTTAGGCAAATTTGGATACCCCTAGCTCCGTGTCCAACCACTAGCTAGTTTCCGGGTTCAGCTTTCACCATGTTCGCAAAGGAGGTTCATATAACCACCATGTGTTGCCGTTCAGGAGCTCAACCATTCAAGAATCGACAACTTGAATCCTAGACCGATCTTGAAACACACCCACCTTAAAGGGCAACCAAAAGAAAACTGTTGCGCCATTGTTGGGGGGGGGGGTTCCGGCATGGGTGTGTCCTTTGCTTTAAGCCCCCTCAAAACGGCGCAACGGTTTTCCTACGGGGGTTAATATAGCCACCAGTATTTTGCCTAAGGAACTTACTCCATCATCCAACTCGAGTCCCTTGGGCCATCCCTTCAATGGGGCGACCGGTCGCCTGGCGCAATAGGCACATTTGGACCCCCAGCTCCCTCACGGCTCCCTTACAACCACCAGCTAGTTGGCGGGTGGCCCCACAAAAAAAACATGCCTGGAATCGGGGGAAGGACTTTTTTGGACCCCCCCCTGGCTGGCGGGAGCTGAATAGCCAAATGCATAACACCCCCAAGAATCCGTTATTGACCTTTCTTGGTTTTCAAGGGCATCTATGTTTATCTTTCCCAGGCGAAAAAGCAAACAGAAGAAAAAGGAATCCAAGAACAGGGAGGCACCTCACAAGCGCCACACTGACGAAAGGTTCCATGAGCTTCGAGCGCCTGGCGCATTAGGCACGTTTGGATAACCCCCAGCTTCAGCTGGACATATGTTTGGTTTTCCCAGAAACCGAAAAAGCGAATGGACGGCTTCTTCCGTTTTGAAGCGCCTGGCGCACCACCCGCATCAGGCGCTTGGAGTTGTTCAGCGCCTGCCCCGTGCCTATGCACAGCGCTCGCGCCGCGTCCCAGCCCCGCAGCCCCGGGGCTCGGGGGTCCTCGTCGCTCGGCACCTGAGCCGCGCGCGAAGCACCGGATGCGGTGCGGCCGAGGTTCAAAGGCTTCCCACTGGCTTACTTGTTTAGTGGTTTCGTATCTTTGTAGTGGTTTAGTGTTTTGTAGTGGTCTAGTGTTGTTGTTAGTGGTTTAGTGGTATAAGTGTATTATGCTTGTAGTTGGTTCACCCGAGAATGCACAATGCACAATGCAGACTTATGACAGCTAAACCGTACTTATGGGTTATTACCCTAGCTTGCTCTTGCTTTTGGCTTTATCCTTGGGGTTTGTCTCAAAAAGGGCCCAGACCATGTTTAAACCGTGGGACCCCCAACAAAGGCTTCGGCTTTCCGGCGGTTTCCCCTTTGAGGGGGAGGCAGAATGGTCGGAACAATCACGTCCACCACTTGAGCTCGGTGGAGTTCGGCTTTCCCTTTTCGAAGGAGTCCCAAACACTCCAAAAAAACATCTCACACACACACGGGGAAGAGATGAGAAGGGTCGAAGGAAGTCGAAACACACACACACACACACACACACACACACACACACACACACACACCAAGCGGCCCCCCCCCGGAACGCACCACGCGCCGCACCACTCGCTCGCTTCGCGCCTGGGGCTCTGCGAGGCCCAGCAGCGCGTAGCGCGCGTGGCTCCAGGCCTTCCGCAGGAAGGAGACCTTGCCGCCCACCCTGGCAGGAGACCGCGAGGGGGGGGGCCGAGGGGGTTTGGGGGCGCAGGGGGGGGGGTGGGAGGTTGGGGGGGAGGGGGGGAGGGGGGGAGAGGGGAGGGGGGAGGGGGGGAGGGGTTGGGGGGGTGGGTTGGGGTTTGGGTGGGGGGCGGGGGTTGGGGGGGGTGGAGGTTGGGGGGTTTGGGGGCGCGGGGGGGTGGGAGAGGCGTCCCTTTTTTGTGAGGAGGCAGGAAACCGCGAGGGGTTGGGGGGGTTTGGGTTGGGGTTGGGAGGGGGTTTGGGTTGGGAGGGGGTTTCGGGGGTGTGAGGGGGAAAAAAACCCGGCAGAAAACTCCGAGAGGCTTTTTCTGTTTGTTTGTTTTTGTTTTGTTTTTTTGGGGGGGGCTGGGGGATTTGGGGGTGTTCAGGGCGCTGATTTTTTAACGTGTGTGCTTTGTTCTTTTGAGGGGGTTGGAGGTGTGCAAGCCGGGAGGTGGGGAAAAATCCGGCGAGCCTACGACAAAAAACTAGAAGTTCGAATCCAAGCCACAAGTTAACATCACTCGCAACTTCGGATTTAGGCGGAAACCCACAAAAGGAGCCCTCCACCCCCACAAAAAAACGTCGAGTTCCCATTAAAAGAAAATCTTGATTAGTGGTCCTCTTTCTTGAGCAATCCAAAGTTGACATCGCTTGATCTTGCGAGACCATCGCCTTGGCCTTGAGCACCTAGAAATGATCCCTAAACTGGTCCCTCTTTCCTTTTGGCGAACAAATGGTGGGCCTTTGGGGGTTCACCTGAACGAAAACTGGGCTGAAAGAGGGTGAAAGCTTGGTTGAACCAGTAGCTCACTTCCTGGGTAGATCCGATCCTAACGTCTTGTTTACGACTTAAATGGTATTCCCAAAAAGTTCAAAGTGCAAGAACTGCAGAAGTGAGGCTGAGATAGACTCATTTGGCTTCCAAATAGCGCACCCCTGATCACGAACTCTGCGGTCGGAGTCGCCTTCCTTCATTTTCAGCCACGCCCACTTCTCCAAATAGTTGTCACTAAATTAGCTCGAGTTTGCTTGTGGCATCCCTTCAATGACCTCAAAATAGGACATGAAACCTGCTGGGTTTTCCTTTCAACCATTTGAAAAGGGTACCTTTCGCCTCAAAAACGAGCCACGCCCATTTTTTATCCTGGAGTAGCCTGGTTCCTGATTCGCAGTGTGTCCCAAGCTCCCATTCAAGAGGATAGCCGCACGTGCATGCTGAATGGCTCCATCCTCAGTTTGAACTACCCAGCCCCATCAGCGGACTCGGACCCAGTAGGCGGACTTCTCGAAATGGTGAAGCCAGCAGTCCCTTCTTCTGCCACATTGTTCTGTCTAGATACCGCCCATTTTCCCAGGGCGTTGGCCAATTCTGTAGAAGGAACCCAGATCCGCAAATGGACATGACATGTGACATGGACAGTCCGGCTATAACATTTTCAGCACCAAATCTCGCCCATTCCATCGAAGTCTGCAACCATCGCCCATTTTCTCCCGGGCTCTCTATGCTTTCTCCTTGACGAACCACCCCCCAAAAGAAACTCACTTAAAATTGTTACACGACTTCCATCATTCCCTTCAAAGGTGGCGATCGCTTTTATGGGGGACCCCCCAAAGCCAAAAGCACACTTGAACCACAAACAAAACAAAACAAAGACAAAGACTTAAGCCACCCAAAACCGGAAAGAACAAACCAAATAACCCCGGCAACACCGAAAACCCCAGTCTTTTCCCCCGGGCCCTACCCCAGCCTCACCCCCACCCCACCCCACCCCCCGGCCGGCCCGCGCACCTCCGGGGCGCGGAGCGCTTCGTGGCAGCCAGCCGCGCCTTGAGCCGCTGCTGCCGCCGCCGCCGCCGCTCCTCCGGACTCTCCGGGGACCCGCTGGGGCTCCTCGTCGAAGGGACGGCCACGGACGAACGTTCGAGCAAGCCGCGGGGGGGGGGGGGGGCTTCCCCCATGATTTTCTCAGATTGTTGGAAAACTTTGATAGGGTCTGATTTTGAACCATTTGCAAATGCAGAAGTATTGTCCCAGTGAAAAAGAGCATGTAAATAGATACGCTCTGATGAAGCCGCGGGAAACCCAGAGGACACCCGCGCCATTGGATTCGGCGGCCTAGGTTGAGTCATTGTTTTCTGGGGAGGGGGGGGGGATTGGGCGCCTATGTTTTTCCTCCCTTTTTTTGGGGTTCAGGCATGCCCGGGTAACGCGTCCCAGTCTTCGCTGGGGCCAAAAGAGGCGCCCTGTCCCCCGCTGTTGCCCAGGAGTTCTATCTATCTGTAGAGAGTAACCAAGGGAAACACCCAGTGCTGTGTGCAACTGAGCCACCAAGTTGGACAAGCAATCGACTTTTGGATAGTTTCCTACCCCCGAAGCACCAAAAAAATGCGTCGTTGCCGAAACGCTGTAAGACCTTGTTTCCCCTGGGGAGCATGGACAAACTTGTCCGGTTGTCGGGATTTTGATGTGCACCTTTCCCAAATGATGGACCCCCTTTACAAATGGGGGCACCCACTTTTGTGGGTGGATTCCTTCTTGGCAGGCCTCCAAAAGTAGACCCTCTTTCTTAACCCCGCCTTGCTTTGCTGGCATGATTCGCTGTCCGATCCCCACTTCTTTTTGCAGAGTTCCTCAAATAATAGTTCTAACACCTGATATACAAGCAGATCCTCCAAATCAGTTGGTATTTTTGTGATCCCAAATGGGTGTTTCCCAAAATGCTGGACCCGCTTTTGGTTGGTATAAGGGCGGCCTTGTCAGAACTCCCGAAATAGACTCATTTCCTGCAGGGGCAAGCCCCGCCCCTGAAAATCGCTCCGAATTAATGCGCAGTCCGCGTTATTGTTGGGGCCCTGTTCTCGGCTGTGGGAAACTCTTATCCCTTTCTGTGATACCAAGATGGGGCCATCCTATGAATACTTTGCCGTTTGGAAGGGGGCTCCCGGCTATGTTCTAACAGAACTCCGATCGGTAGCTCCCGAGCTCCTTATTTAAAAGCAAATTTGGATACCCCTAGCTCCCTAACGGCTCCCTTCCAACCACGAGCAAGCCACAGAAAATGGACGTAAAGCCCGAACTGTCCAGATGGCCCTCTTTGAGACATTCGAAATTTCCGCATCTCCTGCCCAAGGATCTGCTGCCGCGGCGGCTGCCCCCGCGGCTCCTGGTGGAAGCGGGCTTTCAAACGTGACATGCTTCCATTTGTTTAAGGCCCCTGGAAAATATAAAAATATGTCCAGTAGTGATCGATTCCTTTTGAAACCAACAGGGGGAAAAAAACAGTATTCTTCTTCAAAATCTGTCGTCAGATATTCCAGCAATCACGACGTTCGGTTGCCGGTTTTGGGTCACACGACTCTAAGGGAAGCTAAAAGTTGAGTGACCAAAGAAAGGCCAAGTGGTCGATTCAAAAAACGCCCTTTGCAACATACCCCAACATGATTTTGGGGGGACCCGTATGTTGTTTTGGACTTACTCCCCCTTTGCTTCCATTCCCGCCCCCCCCCCCCCCCCACCCCTTTGCTTCCCCCAAAACTACTTGAGGAAGCACACCTCACCCCCACCCCACCCCCCAACCCACCCCTCCACCCCCCAACCCCCGCCGAAAAGTTTCGCCGGGCCGCGGCGAGAGCGCGTCGCTCTTGGAGCTGCTGCTGCGCCGGGGACGCTCGGGGCTCCCAGCGCCCGCCCCCGCGCCCGCCTGCCGATGGGCCGAAGTTGACGCGCGGACAGCTTTTGGTCGCTAGGGTTTGCAGATATTTTAGGGTCCCTTAAATAAAAAGACACACACCTATGTGAAATTATGGTTGAAACCGTTGTTGGTACTGACAGGGGAATCATCAGAAACCAGCGTTGAGGTGGTTTGGCCTAGTGGCTTGGGTTTGGAAGTTGTCTCCTTTCATCGGCTTTCCTCAAGTTGGTGTCACCATGTTCTGCAAGAAACGGATTTTGTCCATCCACGGTGTCCTGATCGGTCAGTTTGGTTCATAGATGAGTTCCACCGGTTTAGATGAACCATTTGCCGTGTGGAAACCCACTGAGAGTCTGCCGAAAGGTCACCTATGGGAACAAGGCGACTTACATGGTCAACCAACTTACGTAGGCTAGAACCACGGTAAGAGGGCGATCACCCCAGTTACACGAGTTGTAAACGAACATCCAAGTGATGGGTGGTTTGGTTTGGTGGTTCGGGTTGGTTTGGTTTTGGAAATTGTCTCCTTTAATCGGCGTCCCTCTAGTTGGTGGTTTGACCATGTTTTGCGAAATGGATTTTGTCCATCCAGGCATCCAGGGTGTCCTTTTGGTTGGTTAGTTGGGTCAATAGATGGGTTCCACTGGTTTTGATGCCAGGGAAACCCATTGAGATTTTGCCGAAAGGTCACCTATGAGAACGAGCCTACGTGGACGTTGAACCAACTGAGTAAGTGGTTGTAAGGGGACAACCGCCCAGTTACACGAGTTTTAACTGAACCATTCTAGCAATTGGTGGTTTGACCACAGATTCATGTACCTGTTATTCGTTGTCTTGGGGTCGGAGCAACCCTGCAACAGTTTTGGGCTCCCCTTTGGCCCTGGCTGAAATGGCCAACCAGCTTGGCCACTAAGGAAAAGCAAAGGAACCCCCCCAAGGTCCGAAAGTGCAGCCCTCAAAATCAGAGACGCGTTACATGTCCTTTGTCTCCCTTCCGCTTTCCCAGACGCTCCCTGCCGATCGCTCCGGGCGCCCGGACGGGCGCCGAGACTTGGCGGTTCCAGCTGTTGGGCGACTCCGCGCCCTGGCGTTGAACCCCGACCAACGGGGCTGAAGCGCGCGCGTCTCGTTCGCCGGCGCTTGGTCAAGGGAGGCCAAAAGTAAAACCATCATTTGAGGGGTGCTGATAGTGTGACTCGGAGCCAGGGAACCTTGAGATCCCAGGTGGGTTCACATCAGACTTCCCAGAGTAGTGCATATCCACGCAGTTTCCTTGCGTCCATTTGGCAGTCCAGACCCACTCGCGGTGCTGCGTGCGGTGGCACAGGTTCATGGGCCGGTTCTTCTTTGGGGCCCCCCTTGTGTCAAACTACCCACACTCGTGGGTCTATCCCTGGAGAAACCCCAAAAAATAAAGCCATTCAGAGCGAAGCACGACCTCTTGACCCCCCGCACCAGCGTGACTCGATTCCCATTTGACGCACAGAAGCCAGAGGCCAAGACAAAAGCCATGTGGCTCAGAATGCATATGGTGTTGTTTGAGGTCTGTGCCCTTTTTCAGGCTCAAAAGGAAACCAGCAAGTACGTCGGGCACCCCCAGATTTTGATACACACCCAAGGCTCCAAGAGCTCGCCCCATGTCCGGGGAAATTGATTGATCCCTGCCAGCTTGGGGCGCGACACTCCAACCCCCCAAAAAAGAAAAATAAATGGAACAAATGGTGGAGCTCGTAAAGGGTTGTTTGTGTTTCACGCTATGGTCCAAGCGAAAACTTTGAAGCCAAAGGCATGGATCCGGGAACCGAATCTTTTGACGTCCTATGGCAGATGTGGGGTTAAAGGAACCAAAAACGAGGTTAGGTCTCGGTTGAGCTTCCCTAAAACCACCCACTCCAAAACGAAGAACACCCCCCCCAGAAAGAAAACAACAAACGCACGCCCCTATCCCGCCCTTTTCTCCATACCATGGGTCTATTTTGCGGCCACCTTCATTTGGCTCTCGGGTGCCAAATGCAACCCCCCCACCTTGGAAGTCCTGCGCTTGGGGCTGCGGCTGAGGCCCAACTGACGGCAAGCGAGTTGACGAGCGGCGAGCGTTTTGGCCCCGAAAACGGCCGAGACAAAGTGACTAGAACTCTTGGCTTTTGCTTCCCGTTTTGGATACTGAACAGGGCACACCTCCCCGTTTCCCCGTTTTGTCCGGGCTCGGTTTCATTTTCTCCGCGCATACTGTTCACCCTGGAATCCTCCCGCGAAAAGTTGGGAGGTGTCCCACTTCCAGTCCTGGGGTCAGCCAGCCCCCCACCCACCCGGCCCTATTGGACGTTTCCCGATTTGCCTCCGGTTCCAATCCCCCAGGTCCAATCCAAACCTCGGGGATTTCCTGACTCAACTCCGTGTCCGTTTTCAGATCTGCCAAAAGCTTCACCGGGTTAGATGAAAACTACCACGTCACTAAACCAACTACAAAGCACCAAGCACCCCAGGAACCGGATGCCTGCGGGACCACCAAGAAATCAAAAGCCAAAACCAGCTGCCGAAAAGAACCTATCTGCCGGCATGCCTTCCTTCCATTTGCTTAAGCCCCCTGGAAAAACAATATGTCCAATAGTGAAAGATCCGCCCTTCAAAACAACAAAAAGGGTATATGACACAATTTCAGGAGCAAATGGAATCTTCCAGGATCCCACAGTTGGAAACTCTTCCCTGGAAAAGCGAGCGCCAGGAGCTTAAAAGGTGCTGGAAAATATGTCAGGCGCAGAAAGGTTAGGGGGGTTGGGGGTGATAAAACCATGACCATGGGGGATTTAATGTTGCTACTTGCTCAAGCAAGTAGCACCGATTTCGGAGGTGCCATCCATGCAAAAACAAATGCCATCTCTGTAGCAAGGTGCAGTGGGTGGAAGAAATCCTGCACCTCAGGATGATTCCCCTGTAAATACCCAACAGATGGTTTCCGCCTTTCCTCAGCTCAAGGAATGGCGTGGTGTCCCCTGACCCCGGATCTAAGCGCAACAGCCTGTCCTTTTAACAGGGAGGTCTTCCCGAACCCGCACTGAAAGGGGTGTCCCCCCCGACCAAAACCAGCCAAGTGTTCTACTTAGATCCAAGGTTCCCCTTAACTTGCACCGGCGAACTGACCTAAACTCCCCTCGGCAGCCATCGGAAGGCTGGCTTTGCTGATCGCGGGGGGCCCCGGAAATAGCTTGACCTTTTCGGGCCCTGACCGAAGAAGGGCCAAAACGACTAAGCATGCACGCAAGTGACCTGGACACAGCTATGAGCTTGTAGGTTTCAATTGTGCAGTCGTGCACATATCCGTACACACAAAAATGTATATGTAAACACACATGCCTATCTAGATGTGTGCGCGTGCACGTGTGTGACTGTGTGAGCACCTGTGCAAACACCTGTGCGAACACCTGTGTAGAAGCCTGTGAAAACCATGTGGCAAAAACCTGTGCGAATGCATCACGAGTCCTGAAACTACGTTTGAACTCACTATGCGTGGCCATGATGATGACGACGATGATGATGGCGCTGGTAACGAAGACGATGACGACTGCGACCACGACCACCACCACCACCTCCACGACCACCACCACGGTGCTGCATGGTGTTGTTGGTGGTGATCGTGGTGACGATGGTAAACACGCCGATGATAGTGATGGTGAACGGCAAAGTCAACCATAGCAACACTCCCTGAGTAAAACATTCTGGGTCCAGAAAGGGGGCTATAAAATTTGAAATACCTTTTTAAAGGTTGGGACCCCTGAAATCCAATCTGGCCGTTGCCTTGACATATTTTGCCAATTGCCCCATGCGCCTCATGTCACACACACATCTTGGCCCACCTCACTCTTGACGCTGCAGCTGCGCCGCGGCTTGTCCTCACTGGACTCGCCCTCAGCCTGAGACCAAAGCCGCGAAGCGGCGAGAGGGATTTTTCAGCAAAACGAAGGGACAAGACCCCTTTAAAAAAATATCACCCGGCAAGCGAGCTCAAAGAGCGGTCAAAACTGATGAGCCCACTTGCTTCTTTACAGAACTTCCTGAAATAACAAAACAGGGTCTCTATAAAAGCGCGTTTCTGAAAGAGGCCTTCTGAAAGCTCCTATACAAGATCTCCTGTGGAAAGAGGTTCGGCGTAAACTCTCTCTCAACAAGGCCTCTATGGAAGTGTCTTTGCAGGATCTGTGGATAGGATCTCTTGGTAGCATTACTTGGCAAGATCTGCGCGCGATTGTCTAAGAGCTCTCTCTTCATAATCTGTAGGGAGCATCCTCTGCCAGATCCCTCGGCATGAAATCTATGTGAGGTCCTGCGCAAGACCTGTTGAGAGGATCTCTATGAAGGCCAGCACAAGATATCCTTGGGAGGATCTTTGCGGGACCTCTGCACAAGATCTCTTGAAACGATCTCTTGGCAAGATCTGCGCGCAGGAACTCGGGGTAGGATCCTGCGCACAGGATCCATGAGATGCTCCACCATATATTTGCATTCTCCGTCCGGGATGTTGCACGAGGCCGCGCTGTCGATCTGCACATTAACGTCTCAACTTTTGCCAAGCCTGCCCAAACGAAACGCCCGGCCCACGCATCCATACCACACAATGTTCCGTGGGGTTTAACCGCCATCAAACCATTAAATCACGGGTGTGGGCCCCTGTTTTTGTTGTTGTTTTCGAGTTTTTAGCCCTCTGAAGAACGCAGGCTGACTCCAAGAACTCTTCCAGGCACCATGGTTCAAATGTTAAAGGGCACATTGACCAACAAGACCTGGATCAGGAATCAAGATCGTCAGTCATGCCTGAACTTTTAACCATGGCTTGTCAGATGGATTGTGCTTGCATGCCTTTCCAAACTTTGACTGCCAGCAGTTTATAGAGAAATTTGTGGGGAGAGAGCGCTCCTATCATCCCAGTTCACAGACTAGCCGGACAGATCGTGATGGGGAGTCCCCTCCCACCATCTCAGCTTAAATGACTCCACCAACCATAGGTCACGTGTCAGAAACTCTTTCCGGATCATCAGAAACATGTGCTGGAGCCAGCATTTGGATTTCCACCTTGCATGCCTGTAGCTCACAAGGGGCTAGTGGAATGAAGGCCTCTGCAAGTTGCGGTGATGAGGATCCCCCACTTCCTTGCGAAAGAAATGGACTTACCGTAGGCTACCCCTGAGGCTGGAAATGAGGGTGTTCTTTCTACCCCCTTGAGATGTTGAATTGCATTCTCTTATTCCCGGCCATGCCAGCCATTGCATGCCACCAGTGGCATAGGAGCTAGAGAGCCTACCCCTGATGATGTAGAATCTAATGTTGGCAAGTTGCAGGTGGTCTCAACAAACATATTTATGTTCATAAAACAAGAAACAAGGGAACACAGAAAGGCTCAGCAGCACTAATGGAAAAATGCATTTTCATGGAAAACTCAATTTTCACTGAACCGAATTGTCCATGCCTGGGGCTAGCTAAACCCTCTATGTTAACCAATAGCAAGCCAGTAGCTTGATGATGCTGCTGCACATTGGCCTAACCTATGACACATGTAGCTGTGTATGTCAAAGCCACGTACACGAATATATTCTCTACCCAACTGAACTACCTTGACGAATGCCCTTCTGCATAAACACCCCCCTCGATATGCGGGACAAAGTGCGGGACAAAGTGCCGGACAAAGTGCGGGACAAACTGCTGGACAAACAACTGTCTGGCAAGTTGTCCGGGGGGTTGTCCGGACGGTTGTCCGGAGGGTTGTCCGCGCACTTTGCCGAGATTTATGCTGCAAACCCCCCCTCCCGCGAGAATACTTCCCTCCGAGTGGTTTCCGAGTGGTTTCCGAGTGGTTTCCGAGCGGTTTCCGAGTGGTTTCCGAGCGGTTTCCGAGTGGTTTTGGCGTGTTCCAAACCTGTCCGAAGACTTGTCCGGGGGTTTGTCCCGGGTTTTTGGGCCCTCAAACCTGTCGAGCCAGCTGCAGCTCGAACATCTCGTTGTAGTATGTGTCCTTGAGCGCTTCTTCACAGATCTCCTCAGATTGCTGGCTCAGTTCGACAATGGACTCGGCGGTCGAACCTAGCACTTTCTCGGCAGCTGGGTGAAAAACTGTGACCCAGCATGATCTGAAAGCATCCCGGGGTTTGTCCCGGGCTTTTGGGCCCTCAAAGCTGTCCGGAGGGTTGTCCGGGGGTTTGTCCGGGGGTTTGTCCCAGGCTTTTGGGCCCTCAAAGCTGTCCGGCGGGGGTTTGTCCGGGGAGTTGTCCCGCCGATTTTGGGCCCTCAAAGCTGTCCGGAGGGTTGTCCGGGGGTTTGTCCGGGGGGTTGTTCGGGGTTTTAAGCCCGTTTGGACCCAAAATGTGAAAACAGGTGTTTATGCAGAACCGCCTCTGTCAAGAACTACCATAGGGAGCGTGATGCGTAAGACACGCTGTGACAATACTACACACGCAATGGGCCCTATGTTGTTCTAGAACTCCTTGTTGGCACAGGTGTTTGCTCATTAAAGGTGAGGGCAAAGCAGCAATCAATGTCCGTGCTCGCTCGTTGCAGAGATGTTTGTAGCTAACACAGCTTCTAGCAACCACTTCTAATCCTGATCCCGGGCTGAGTATGGGGGTCTGCTGAAGGGGGGGGGGGGGGGGGCGGAAAAAAAGGTGGAAAAAACAAAACGAAATCAATTTCAAATGTCAAAATGTCCCCCCCCCCCTTTGAAGAGCTGAGTGCGGAGCGAGGGAAGCTCTGAAGAAAGGGTTTGATCAAAGGTTTCTGCGAGGATATTTGATGGAAAAAAAGCAAACCAAACAGCACATCTTCATATTACATAATGTGAATTCCCCTAAATCAGCAAAAACAGGGGCCCTCATAGCCGCCCTATCACCACCATGACTTAAGACAGTTCATCATCCAAGTTGGGTCAACCATTCTTTTCATGGGAGCCGGTTGAGTCCTAGGGTGTTTTGGGGGGCACATCCCAGGCGTTTTGGTTGTCTCCCTTCGGTCCGATGAAAACGAGAGGCGGCGCTTTTCGAGGTCTCCAGGGCTCCGGGCCGGCGGCTCCTTCCAGAGGCTCGGCGTGGCACCCGCGAAGGCCTGATCTTCGCGCGCCATCGGTGGGGATGGACGAGATTCCGAGACCGCGCCGCTTTGAAACCGTGAGAAGCCATCCCCCGGCATTTGCCAAGGGAATTAGCATAGGGCTTCTGAACGGTGCGAGATGGAGTTCGTCCATCCGCTAACTTGGTTCACGTTGGGTTTGGGGAGCAAAAATTCGTGGATGATTTGAGCAGTGATCTGGTTGGATTTCAACCACGAAACCACAATCAGCAAAAATGTAACATGTTTCCCAACAACAACCATGCTAAGGAGGGGCTTCCCATTTACCTCTTAGCAAGAAGCAAGGTTCAGTTCCACCAATCCAAACCAACTGAGGGATGAAGATCGGTGGGGAGCGGGGGGAGGTTGGGTCTTGCAAAAGGTTGGTGCGGGAGGGGAGGGTTCGCGGTGGCTTGTGGCGGGAGTCGGGAGTCCGGAGCTTCCCTGAGAACTGCCCTCTTTGAAACAAAAATCGAAACTACTTACAAATAAGCCAGGGTCGTCATCGGCCTCTGTGCATTTCTCAAGGTGGATGCTGTGCGGCTTCAGGCAAACAGCAGTTGCAGCCCCGCTTGACCCCGCCCTCTCCCAAAAAAGAGGGGTGAACTTCCTTTCGGCCACCGGCGAATTCCCAAGGCGCCAGCACTTGCAATGCAACTGGCACTTGGCTGCTGTCGCTGGCACACATCGAAGAGGAACCAGTCGTACTGACGGACAAAAAGTCCACTTCACAAAGGATGCGGTTCCAGTGCCCTTGAGGAAGCAAATCGCAGATGTCAGAGAGTTGAAAGGATGCTCTCCCGCTAGAATCACTTGCAACTGCGGGCTGATAAGTCACCAACCAACAAGACTCCTAGGATACATCCAAAAACCATCTGAACTACAAAAGGATCCTCTAAATCAGCTAAATATTTGGGTGATGTTGCGACGAATACGTTTCCCCCTCTTGGGAGGTTCGGCACCAAAGTGGGGTTCCCCTTTCGAGGCTTCGCACCTTGGCGGATTTTTGCCCACCGATTGATGGTTTGGATTGTTGGATTGGTGGCTTGGAGGGGGTCCGGGAGAGGACTTCAAATCCAAACGCAACTCCAAACCAACTCGGGCCCCAAGGTTCAACCCGCCCGGACCTGGACTCCTCACAAAGATTGAGCTTCAAGCTTCCAGCCTTCGCGGCCATCATCTTCAGCTTGTCGCTGCGATCTTCCCGAGCCTCCTCCCCGTCCAGTACAAGAAAGAGGGGTGCAAATCCAAAGGGCTCCTTTGACCAACATAAATTACCTGATCGTTTCCTGGAGATTCATGGAACCCGTCCACTTGGCCCCCAAAAAAAACTCACTTGCCCAAGCACCTAAGAAAGGGCTCCCTGCAAAACCCTTCTCGGAAGGTCGAGGGAGAATAGAAGCTCAAGCCAGAAAGCAGATTTGCCAAACCCACTGGCCACGGTTTTCGCAGCCAGCCTCGGCTCCATGGCAGCGAGAGGGTTTGCTTTTTGTTGGAGGAAAGTCAACCATCGAGTGGACTGGCAAAAACAAAAAAGTACCCAACTTGTTGTTTGCCACTCAAATGGTCCAAACCCAAAAAGTTCTAGAGTCCAAACCCGTGGAGTGACGTCCTGTTTATGCTCTCGGCTGAGGCCGTGTCACAAATTCCACGGTCGCTATGCCAAGCCCCATATATAACAGCGGTTGCTTCACCCTGGGCCTCTCGAGCTTCTCGGGCTTCTCGGGCCCTTGGTGTCACAGCTCCTTGTGCAACCTGGGTTCTCCCTCTGAGCTGGGCTCCCTCAAAGTGAAACCCGCGACAAGTTACCCTGTGTAATGGTGGCTGGGGAAAGCATACCGGAAAGCAATCTTCAGAAACTCAAACCGTTCGCCTGAATGGTTCAAACATCACAAAAAGCGAAATTGTCTGAGCAAGCCCTCAAAAATTGCTTTGCCTTGGCCTTGGGACCCATTACCATGGACCAGTGAGGGATTTCTTCGCAAAAAGCCCGGCGCCCGCGTCCTGCTCGTGCGGGCTGTGGCTGCGGTTTAGGCTCGCCGCGGAGTTGTTGCGCCGGGCGGCGGTCTCCTGGCAGCGCGGACCCCGGTGGCGCCACCTTTGGCTGGAGGGGACGGTCAACCAGGACATTTAGAAAACCGTCCCGAGGATCCTAGCATCGCGGCTCACAGGGGAACGAGAATCCGTTGGCGTCCATCCTCGTAACTCAAGTCCAAATGCTGGGGAGCGTGGTCCCTAGGCCCATTCTTTCCAAGAAATCCCTATATGTGCGTCTTGCTTGAAGCCGACTTTTGCTTGCTTTTCTTTTTGGAAGGGGAGGTTCCGCGACAATAACGCGCAGACTACCATATTGCATCACCCCGGAAAACCCGTGTGAAAATTGTTGGCAGCCAAAAAGATGATGTTCAACCGCAAAAGGTGAAACACAGGGACACCGAAACATGCCCCACAACATGGAAGCAACAGGGTCACGAACTTCGCCCGAAAAAGCCACGAGAGCTACCCTCCTGGCAGCTGCCGTTTGAGGGGGATGGCGGGTGTATGGGCATTTTTTCCAACCCATGAGTGCCAAAGAAAAACGCCAGGGGTCGTAAAGGTTTAGGCTGGGGCCATCCCCAATAGGACTGCGGTTCCAAGTGGGAGAACCCCAAATTGAGCGATTTTCTTTTTGCCTCCCTTTGAAACCATCCTCAAGTACCCCAAGAAATGGCTGTGGGTCAAAAATAGGCTAACCCCAAAATGGGTTGCCCTGGTAAATGAAAACACAGACTAAAACCTGCGGTCCAATTGCTGGTGCTTTAGTTTTGACCCATACCCATATGTCCAGTGAAATCGGTCCCCTTTCAAACCAAGGGAAAAACAGCACGACATATTCTTAAGAAAATGGAAGTTGTCTTTCGTACCTTTGGATTTTGGCTTTTCGCTTTGTCTCTATACCACCCCCTCCTCGGGCCCGCTGGAGACCTTTGTGAGCTCGGCCGAGAGCTCGCCGCTCTCCGTGTAGGGCTCATGGGAAAACTCATCCTCGGGGCTGGGGAAAAAGCTTGGTTGCTGTTGACCCCCCTGCAAAATAACTTTTGGGGGGCTTAGTGGAAAAGCCCTAATGATTTCAACCAAAAAGATAAAGTCTAAAGATCCAACCCAATAGCAGTCAAGAAAAGGGAATCCTTCTAATGGCCGTCTTTATTGTGCCCCAGATTGGCTAAGGCCAGAGAAGCCTTTTTTGGCGTTTATTTAAACAAAAACAAAAAACAAAAACTAAAGAAAGGTGGGGTGGTGTTCTGTTGGTAGTAGTTAAACTCTATGAGCCGGCTCGTGATTTCGTAGGTTTTGTAGTGGTTTAGCTGTTTAGCTGGTTTAGTGGAGTGCTTTTCCTACATCTTAGGATTACACCGAAAATTGTCCAAAGGGCCTAATCCCATAGGAAAACCCTTAAACTCCTTGGCAGCTCAAAGCCCAGGGCTCTTCCTAAGAGAAACCCCGCGAGGCTTCAGCAAAAACAGGCGCCCAGTTCGACGGCGGCCAATGAAAACCCAAGCTGCGGCCAGTGGAGATGCTCAACCAAACCGAACTAAAAAGGCCAGCCATAGCTTTGCCGGCAAGTCTGTGGGATCAGCTGGTCTACCTACCGCAGCTGACGATCAAGATCAAGAGCTACGTGAGTGGAACAGAGTCGACCTGGATGAAGGACAGGGGCCGCAGGATTCCCCAAATGAAAGAGTTGATCATTTTTCTGGCGGTGTCCTCGATCGCCACTTGTGGAGGTTTCGCGAAGGGAAAGGAAGGAACCTTGAAGGAAGGAATCTGCGCTGTCTTCGTCCGGCGTAGGGTTCACAATTCAGGGCTGAAGACATGACCAAAAAATCGCGAAAACCCCAAGATCCCAACCCCCCCCCCCTCCCCCCCGACAACGGATGACTGCTCTGTCCAAGCATCCCCCCTCCCCCCCGAGGGGGAGGAAAGTCTTCCCCATGAAAGGGGGAAAATGGAACCCTAACTGGCATTCCAGGGGCCACCCCCCTCCCCCGATTCCATTAAGGGGGTGGGGATACCCAAAGAAAAAAGGAGAAAAAAACACTGAAACTTAGCATCTTCCAGCTCGTCCTCCAGGTTGAGCTCCTGAAGCCTTGGTCGACTGCTCCCTCTGTGTGTGCGTTTTACCGCAAAAAAATTATCATCTTCCCCGGCCCAAGTTTGTGGCGCCTGGAAAATCGGAAATCAGCTTTGCCCTGATTGGCGGCTTGGCTTGGGTTGGTTTGGAAAGTAATTCCTTTTGCTTACGTCTACTGGAAGAAATGAAAGTATGTCCAGTAGTGATAGATTCCCTTTTCAGCCAACATTGGAACAGGAAAAAGTTTTCTTAAGCAATTGGATGTTGGTTTCCTTCTTGAGCCCCGTTTCGACACCAACGTTTAAAAAAAAAAAGTAGTCTTAAACCAATGGAAGGTTGGGGGGCGTTCTTAACTGGAAACCCTCTACCAGAGCTTCAAGGTCCAATTCTCCCGCCATTCCAAACCACAAAGGGCCTGCCTCAGCTTCCCTCCACTTTGCGGTTTGGATTGGTGGTTTGGCGGCTGAGGATGAAGGAGGGGTTTCCCATGTACCTTCTACAAGCACCAAAAACTCAAATCCTACACCACCGATTAAAACATGAAATCTGCCTGGAGGAGACCACAATGATCTTCAGGTCAAGGCCTCAAGAAGGCCCTCAAAGCTCGGGGTCCATGACTTGCGGGGATGACCCCTATAGACCATCCCATATGGCTTCCTTCAAGGGAATCCCTAGGTTCATTTCCTCGAGCAGTTCGGAGTTCAAATGGCCCAAGTCCATACATTCTTTTCTGCTCTCAGGCTTTGAGTTCCTCCGGCATCGGAAGTCTCTCAGCCTTTGATCTTGTCAAGCGATTTCACCCGCTGACTTGCGTGTTTGCTACCGACATGGTGCTAGATTTACCGTTATCCATACAGGCCCTTACCATAACCCTCCAAAAAAACCCGCAAACGCAACCCAAGTTCATAGGCACTGCATCTTGGGTGCCTGCTTGTGATTCTTTGGCCATAGAAAATATGGCCATGGGGCAAAATCCAAATCGTACCCCCAAGTGAACATCCCAATCCCCACTAAAATAGGTTCTAAAATGGGTGGTGCACCGAAAACCCGAAAATGGGATCCCAAAACAGTTTTGACAACAGCCATATTACTCTCTGATATCCGGGGTTTGGGCGTTGCTTGAGGCTCGATTGGCCCAGCAGCTCATCCTGCAGCTCATCTTTCCGCTCATCATGCTCGCCGCTAAGCGGAGAGCAGTCGCGCACCGGGGGTGCATCTGGAACCTCGGAAAAAGGCGAGGAAGCCTCCGAAAAAGGTACGCCTCGACCAATCAACATGGAACGTGACAGGGACCCGGTCCCTTTAAAAGGAAAATTGTCTTCCAGGACCCCCCTGTCAGGTTCCATGTTAGTTGGTGGGAGGGTAACCCAAATAACGCGCCCCAAAATGAGCTCTCAGCTTCAAAAAAAGCTCCTGACCATTGGGAGCCCTGATAGGCCACTGGCTGAAATGCTGCTTCAGGATTGAACAACTTTTCACCCGACCATCGCACGGGTCCGGGGTCCTCAAAACAGGAATCCCAGGCGGAGAAGAAATTCATTTCAACTCGATCTCAGTTGTCCAAAGGGCCCAGGAATAAAAGGCTAGCAATTTTGGAACCTTGACTAAAATTTGGTACCAAATCAAAGAAACCAAAAGGTCATGTCAGGTCAATTTGCCTTGGGCAACTGAGCAACTCATAGATTTGTCCACCCAAGGAAAGCCCTTTTCGCGCTGTTTGATCCTGCTAAGGGGCGGAGCCACAAGGAACCCTGAGCATGGGAAGGGAAAACGGTGGGCGGTCGGACCTCCAGATCCAATCTGGGAAACTTAGCCCCGTCCCACGGATATAAATGCTGACAGGAGCTCCCTTTCAGCATGGTATTCCTGGGGTTCAGCTACCACCAGCTAAATTCAAGGGGATGAGAACATCACCACCCATGATCTAATCTTGGGGAACTTCATCATCCAAATTGGTTCGACATGAGTCAACCATTCCAATGACCCTGGAAAAAAAAAAAACTAAGAGCTTCTCTTCGCCACTTGCGGACGATAGGAAATGTCCGTGTCATTTTCTGAGGTCTGGTGTCCTTTGCCGATTTTCTTGCAGCCGGAAGTCAGAACCAGCGAAAACAGGGCTCCCGATATTTCCCCTTCAAAAATCATCCCCAGGGATACTCACCTTTCATGGGCCAAAAAGGGGATGCTTCAAACCACCAAAAAGGGAAATACAAGCACTGGAGGAAAAAACAACAACAACAAAAACGCCAGTTGCGAGGGAGCAGCGTTTTCGATGCTCTGCGTCCGCGTGTACACCCGGCTCATCGGGCTCTCGCTCGGGCTGGCGCTGTGCTCAGTGCTCGCGGGGAATGAAGGTTCGAAAGGCTCGAAGGTTGACAATGCCTGAAAGCAGGGCGACTCACTTCCTGAGTGGGGGCAAAAAAAAAAAAAAACGAACCTAGCTGCTGAGGTTGCAAAGGAAAAGCCAAAAGAATGACCCCTGCTGAACTTCAGCTTTGAACCCAAATGATCTTTCCCAACAATTCCAGAAACGAGAGCTCCCAACATGCTGATTCCTCATTGAAACAATCAAAAAAAGGTATCCTCAAAAACGACTCCCATGTTTCTCATGTTGGTAGCTTCACACTTCACCTTTCAGGCCAGATGGAAGTGAGTTTTCTGGGTTCGGGCGACGTTTGACAATGAAATGGAGGCAAACTTGGAACCGACGGGCGCTTGTTCAATCAAGCGGATTCTTTGGAGGGGGGGGGGGCTGAGGGCGAGGGCTAGGACGACGGGGACGGGGGATGGTGCTGGGTCATTTCCCGAATCGTGCCCACGCGGGGAGAGGGCAAGCACAACCGCATGTGCAATTGGCCCCAACAGCACCGCCCAAGTCATGCAAGAAGGGAACTCGAGGGAACATAAGGACAATAGCACACAGCCACTACAAACAAGCACATAAGGCAAGAGGCATACCTAACCGCAGGGTAGATCAAAACATGCTTCGCTTAGCCTTGCAATAGCCCAAAAACTGCTAATGGCGCTGTCTCACTTCCTAAGTTGATTGGCCAACGCCCATGTGCCCCTCAAAGGGCCCTCCCACAATCTCAAGCCAATTGAGTGCAGAACTCAGAGAGTGAGTGAAACGCATTCTCTCAGGCGATTATTATTTTTTGTTTTATAATGATTATTATTAGTATCATTAGTATTGTTATTGTTATTTGATTTTTTTGAAAAGAAAACACCAAAAAAAACACTCCCGCTGTTTCTTCGTCAACAAAAACTCTGCCGCGCCTCCCGCGAGAGCGTGTTGCCCCTCACCAGCTCCCGCATGGGCTCGAACTCCTTGGCGAGCTGCCGCTTCAGCCCCTGCCGGAAGGTCCTCGAGCCCGCAGGCGGAGTCGACGGAGTCGGGGCATGGCCGATGCGGAGCTCCTGCAAGTCCTGGGGTGCAGATCTCTACCTGTTTAAGGCCTAGATATTTTTTGCGACAATGCCACAGAGACTGAAACACACATGGAACTTGGCTGAACTCTCTCCAGCTCGCAGCTGAAGACTCTCCGCTTCGAATTCTTTGGCTATTTGTGGCTTGGAGGTTTTCCGGGGGAACGAAATGGAAACAGGGGAAAGGGGATCGGTTTTGCCTTCCGTTACACCATCCCGACAAGTCCCAGTGCACGAAAACACCGCCCAAAATTAAACATCTGTGATTGATAGACTCTTTGGGGAACCCGAGGGGTCAAACAGCTCTGAACATCCAAGTTCAACGTCTTCGTTGCCTTTAGCTTGGCATTCCTCAAAACATGTGTCCTTTCGGAAAAATAAATGGCCCTCGTAGATGACTGGGCCACCTGGTGAGCCAGGGCCCTCTTTTGCCCATTTGCGGTTCCCGGCACCTTGGGCGGCACCAGGGTCCTTTTCAAGAACTCTGACAGCCGTGGACTTCCGCAGCATACCAATTTACTTGTTTCCGGTGCCTGATCAACATTGGTGTGGCTCATCAAATTCATGCACATGGCACGACAGGACACAACGGACCAGGGTGGACTCGAGCCACCACAATTTGCTTCTGCAAAGTGGAGCCACTTCGAGATTGCAACGCCTCACCCATAAGGCAACTGGTCCGGATGCTTCCCGAGTTTGTTCTGCACCTTTAAACCTGAAATCACAGCTCGTTCTCAACAAACACTTTTCAGGAAGTTGAAAAGCCGCAAACACATATACATGTCCAGTGATGTGCCCTGTTCTTTGTGGCGTTTTAAGGCGGAAAATCCGACGCGCAAGCGTTGGAAAACGTTGACCTGAAGCCCCGACACCCACTTCACACCGGTGCAGATCCTGAACCATTTGCATTTTCGCCCCCTGGAAAAAATTGAAAGAATATTGTCCAGTAGTGATCGATGCCTTTTAAAACCACCAGGGGAAAATAAAACATGTTCTTAAGCAAATGGAGTATCTCTACCTGTTTAAAGCACGGGCGCGGCTGAGGGTAACCAGTCAAACAGTGGTTTGAGTCATTTGTTCTAAATAGAGATGTTCGAACACTATTACTTTCACCGTGCTTGAAACACATGACTGTTGTTCAAAACCACCTACTTCTGGTCCCCGTGAAAAGGTGCCCAGGGCCGATTAGGACACCCCCGCTAGAAGCGTAGCTGTCCCCAGTTGTTGGCGACAACTGCTGGAAAGGCTACTTTGGCCGCAAGAGCAACCAAGCCTAAGCGCGCTTGCACCCAGCCCCATGTCTACACGTGCTCAGGTTTTCATCGTCTGAGTGTGTGTGTCTTTGAGGGTACCTTTTTCTGGCTGGTTGAAACAGGCCCATGAGGGAAAAAAAGAAGAAGGAAAAAAACGAGTGGACAGGAGAACACTTCAACATCCAACCCTGCAGTCCGGGTCTAAGGGGGTCTTAAAGGGACGAGGGCACCCCCTTGTTTTCTTTTGTTTTTGCGGATTCAAAGGGAAACCAAAAGAAAAACCGTTTTTGTTTTGCCCCCCCCTTTTTCTTTTCTTTTTTCTTTGGGGTGGGCGCCCCCTCTTTTTGAGCCGCCCTCCAACAACCCCGACGTCTCACCGTCCTCGGGCCGCCGCTCCGGCTCGCACTTCGGCGCCGGGCGCGGCCGGCTGGTCCGGCTCGCCAGGCTCGGCGTCGTCGGCTCGGGCCGCCGCTCCGGCTCGCAAGCTCGCTCCTTTGGGCGCGTTTCCGTGGCAGCGGATGAGAAAAAAACTATGGACTTGTAGCAAAAACTGCGCTTTGTTGGACAACTGTTTGTTTATTCAACAAGAATGTGTGGCGTCTCAAAAAAGATTGAGACCCCCGCAAAAGTGGTGGTTTCCCTCAGCATCTGCCCAGAAAGGGTAACGAAAGAAGAAAAAGGACTCCCCCTGTAAGAACAGCTTCCTTGGCCTAGGGGCTGGGTTCAACTCAATGCAACCAACGCCGCTCCTCGGTCAGCGGCTGGGGCGGGGGAGTCGGTGTGGGTGTGCGCGAGGTGATCTGCAGATCAGGCTCCTGGCTGAAACCTCAAAGCCTCACGAAACAAGATGCGCATGGCTCACTTCCCGAGATGGGCCAAAACAAGTCTGAACTTCATATGTACCACCAAAATGGCCGTGGCTCAAAAAACCGGAATTCCAAAATGGAACCCTAAGTGGAAGCATGGTTGCCAACACCTGCGGAATTAACCCCTCCTCTTTATTTTTGGTTGCCATCATTCAAATGGAAGCCCCAAAGGTTTTTCAAGTTCCTGGGAACTCAGGGACTGAGATAGACCATCCAAGCAGAACCCTCCAAGCCCCGGCAGCCGAGCGGCGACTAAGGAAGGAATATGGATGCAGCTGGTGCAAAGAAGCCTGCCGTCCCTTGAATTTCTGGGGCCAACCTTAACAAAAATCCGGATGCATGAAAAACACCTGAACATTGCAACTTGCAAATGGCGGTGTCCAACTTTATTTTGGCGTTGAAAAGGCAACATGTTTTAAATGGTGGCAAGATGGGCATCTTTCAAGGCGCCCGAAAAATGCAAAAAAAACAGCCTCGCAGCCAGTTCCCTTGGCGATGTATTTGGACTGGAGCTCAGCTCGCAGGCCGCGAAGAAGCCAAAGTTCGGTGACTTGGGGGCTGGTGGTTTGGAAGGAAGGACCACAAAAACCCTCCACAAAGGCCAGGGGTTCAAACCCCAAGCCACTAATCCGAAGCACCACGTAAGGGCGTCCTGAAGAAGCCCGTCCAGCAAAAGGATCCTAAGTGCCAAAGGACGAAGCAAGAAAGGCCGCACTCAGTGCGGCTCAATTTGCCCTCAGCGCCGGCTTCGTTGGGACAGACACAGAGTTTCCTCAAAGAGTTCTGTAGAGGATACATGCCGGTGCAACCTGGATGGCACAATCCCCATCATGTGGGCAAAGTAGATCCAAGTGCAACTGCCTGGTGATTGGAGCTCGTTAAGTTGGCAAATGGTCATCCCTGCTCGTTTGCTGGTCTCTTTTTCCCCGGCCAGCGACGTCTCACCGTCCTCCACCTCGAGACTCCTGGTCCCCCGGCGTGTGCCCCGCCGCAGCAACCGCTCGCGCGGCTCGGGCGCCGCGGCCTGGCGCGCGGCCTGGGCCGCTGACTTTGGCGGCTCCAGCGTCACCCGCGGAGGCGGCGCCGGCGCGCATTGGCCCTCGGCAAAGAAACAGCCCTCAGAGCTCTGCCCCCTTTCTTTGAGACTTTGAAGGGGTCCCCTGCCCTTTCAGGGCACAGTCCCCCTCCACGTACTATTATCTAACCTGTCCCAAACCTAATCCTCAATGATTAGCGGATTGCGGATTGCGCGGTTTACGGATTAGAGAGTTTTGGTGTAGGACACCCAACTACACTGTGAGGGAACTGCTTTTCAGCTTTTTAAGTTAGAACAACATGCTCGGCAGCCCGAAATTGACACTAGGGCATGTGAAAGGGCCCCAGTGGGGTCACTTTTCCAGCATGGAGTCGTGGATGCCTGGTACTGGAGGATTTACCAGCTAAAGCGCGGATTAAGCGGATTGGGCCCCCGGGGTTTTCGAACAGGCTAGAGTCTATGATGACTGGGGATGGTACACTGACCGTTGCGAGTAAATCTCGCCAACTCTGAAATCAATTGTGCACTATTGCGACCCCAAAAAAAAAACGGCTCAGTGTCAGTTATGACAACTCAGCGTGGTCCCGCTCTCCCACTTGGCCTTCCTCCCCCCGCCTGGCCGACCCGCAGCTCGGAGATCCGCAGCGGCGACTCCGCCGAGGCGGCCGGCTCCGGAGACACCGCGGGCGGCGGCGCGAGGCGCCGGCCCATGGCCCATGGCGCGCGCCACGCGCGCGCGGGGCCCCGGCGGGCGGGGCACCGGTTGGGAGCCGCTGCGTCGCGTTACGTTGCGCGGCGATGGAGCAGGTCAGCGTCCCCCGTTCTTGGGTTTGGGTCCCTGTGGGTTTGGGGTTTGGAGGTGTTCCGGGCTTACCCGATCGAGTCCAAGTACAAACCACCAAGTCCAAACCAAGGGTTACCCCATAAAAACAAAAGAGGCTGGAGAACATGATCATGATATTTACTTTCAAAGCACACGACCCTGCTCTTTTCGGAACCGCCTATACTAACTCTAGTATTATTTTAAGAAAGGAAAGACAAAACGGACCGGCCCGCTTGAATCTTGAAATTGTATTTCGGATTTTTAGACCGCCCACCCTGCTTCTTGCCCGTAAAGCCAACAAAGAAGACTCGGAGTTGGCAAACAGGGTCTGCCGTCTGCCCTTCAACTTGAAAAAGCTTTCACATGGTGGCTCCTGTGGACATTTCATGCTAAACAAAATCTGGCACCCTCCTCCAGCAATCCCCCTACCAGCCTCTGCACTCAATCAATCAACCATTGGCTACCGGCATTGGCTTTCACTGCGATCCTGACCAAACATGTGTTCTTTTTCACCCCCTTTTAAGGGCACGCTCCCCATCTGAACGCCTGCCTTCCAACCACTAGCTACTTGCTGGTGCTCAGCCAATGAGAGAATGACACCGATATAAACCATCCAACTGGTGGTTTCCTTTTTTCGGGAATCCCCAGGTTCATTCCATTTCTCGTTCCCTACTTATCGAACCAGCAAGCCTTCCATTTGTGCTTCACTTCCTGGTCTAGGTCCTCCAGTAGGGAGGTTAGAATAAGGGTACCCTTTTTTCTGCAGTCTATTCTAGAAGGGGCTTGCGCTCCCCCAAAACAAAGGTTCAAGGGCACTACTGGGGGACCTAGTGGTGGTTCCCTGGTGGTTCCCTGGTGGTTCCCTGGTGGTCCCAAATTTCTGGAGCTCTGAGCACTCCGCGCATTTTCGGTGGGTTTCTTGGTGGCTAGTTCAGAGGGTGCCGTGGTTCAGAGGCAGTCCGGACCACTTGGGGAAACACCCCTCATGAATCCAAGAGTCCGGGGTGAACATTGAAACTGGGGCTGTTCCCGGCTCCCCTGCCAAAAGCTTAACTTCCAGTGGCTTCATGGAAACTACAGTACCACTAAACCCCACAAACCTAAAAACTCAAGGACCCCGAGATCATCATGGGCTTTCGCACCTGTTGCCGCATTCATTTATGCAACCTTGCCTAAAAAACTAAGCTCAGGTGGTCTCCCCAACTGCAACCCCCGGAAACCTTTCCGGAACCCTCGCCCAGCAACTCCAAACATAAACACCGGACACCCAGTGGTGCCCTTTCTTCCCCATCTCCATGCGCGCCTGAAAACCACACAAGCTTTGGAGACCCCGAAGCTTCCGGCGGAAGCAAAAAAACAAAGAAACGGAGAAAAAAATGACGCGGACGCAAAAAAAGAAAAGGGCCTCCAGAAGAGCACCTGGTTCAGCAGCTGCGGGGTGTAGAACACCTGCGCACGCGAAGGCGCGAAGGCGCGAGAGGCCTCGGCCTGACTCACTAGGGTTCATTCCTTGCCGATTCCCACTCAAAGAATGGCCCAAGGGGACCCAATTTGGCTGACCTCCTCCTAGGGATCCTTGCCTCCGTTAAAGGAATGGCAAGGACCCAAGCTGGATGATGACATGCCCTTATAGGCAATAATGGTGGTGATATTAACCCCTGTTGAGTGAATTGTGGCCAGGTCTGTAGATATTACCCTGACATCGGCCCCACAATCCTCGGACGGCTTCGGGGAGAAGCAAGTGCCAGGCTCACGACGACTTTCGGGTGTAAGATTCTGTCTTGAGAAAGGTCTGCTTACAGCGCAGCTCATCTGACTTGGTGAGGGGTCGCCGAGCACCAATACAGGAGAGCACATCTTCGCACGGGCGGGATCCAGTGAAGGGGAGGGAGAACAAAAGACAACACGCCATGTACTCACGCGCGCGAGGGTCGCCATCCAGCCCTCCCTTAAATGGCAACATGAGTCGATGCACTGTTTAATCCTTCCCAAATGGGACATCTACAGACTCCTCGTTCCCAGGCCCTCCGGTGCCCAAAAAGAACCAAAACCACGTGAGCCGCCCGAAAAAGAAAAAAGTCGGCCTCCGTGTAGAGCCCATGCGCCCGCACATAGGGCAGCCGCTGGCCGCTCTGGTAGAAAATCCTGGGCCACTCTTGACGGTTCGCCGACGCAACCTGCGACCCGAAGACCAAGAGTTGGAACCCTTTTCGCTTTTCTATTCTGTTCACACAGGACGCACTGAACAGACAAGCGGGTTAGCAGGCCTCAAAGCCAAACGCGTGCCAAACAAGGCTGGCCATTTCTCGGCGAGGGGCTAAACCGACTTTGCACCACGAAGGTTTATTGGCGGATCCAGTTCTTGAGGGGTCTTTGGGGCTGTCAGTTTTGCACTCCCCGCCACACTCTGCCCCTTTCTGCTTGATGGCTTCCCACAAAACTAGGTAGTGGTTGGAGGAGGCCGTTGTGGGGGGTCCAAATTTGCCTTCAAAGAGCGAGCGAAGGGTGCTACCATTTTGGTGGGGTGGTTGGTAGGGTCTGTGACGGAATCTAGCCTTCCACAAAGAAACCCAAAATTTGTGCATAAGAACCCTTGCCAAAAAGGTTCGGTCTTCAAAAGGAAGTCTGTGCGCGTCCATGTTGTGGGTGCGTGGGGCTTTGAGATCACTGAGATGTCACCGGGAAGCTCACCCCTTTTGGGTCGTGTCTGGATCGCATTCGTTGGGTTATTTCCCAACTTGGTGAAAATTCGGGGTGTGACATGCAACATCTCGAGCAATGCGTGGAATGATACGCTCAAAAATACGAACGTCGCAAAACTTGAACACACAAAACTGGATATCAGACCCAAAAAACTGGCAGCGCTTTCTTTGCAGACGCCGGAATTCTCTGAAGCATGGTCCCTGCGAAAGATCTCTCGCTCAGAGTTTCCTGGAAGGTCGCCTTTGCACAGTTGGGTCTCCAACAAATTTGGATCCCCCTTTGGGCGTTGCCATTTTGCTTGTGTAATCGGATCCGGTGGAAAAGCGTAGCTGTCCCAAGGGTTCTTCCAAACTCACAAAACCACGGCTTACCACAGGGGCCAAATGGCAGTCTTCCGGGAGGGGGTTCCGCGGTCAGGGACCCCGACCCTATTTCAGGTGGAAAGGTCGCTGACATTGCCAATGCACCCTCAACCAGCTAGGGAAGCTTAACTTTTAGAATTGTTGAACAAGCACCACGCGGTAGGATGTCCAGTGCAGGAAGTGCCCACATGGAACAACCCTCCTTCTTGTTCTTTTCTTAGGGGCGCATCAAAACAAGCAAGCCATGTTCGGCATTCTCCTCCAGGCAAACTCGCGGCTGAAAGAGGGCTGGGGATTTTGGGGTTGTTCCATGTGAATTCGCAGGTTGCACTTTTGGACCCGGTTCTTTGGGGCGGCCAAAGCTCTGCTCCGAGAGGATGAGGTTGTTGGTCGCCAGCCTCACCCGGGCGTTTGGGACGAAGAGCTCGCCAAAGTTCTGCCAGAAGGTCGGCACGTCCTCACCGGTCGGACTCAGGCAGCAGCTGTCCCGCCGTTTTCGGTGGTGTGGAGGTTCAAGAAGGTTTCTCACCTGCCCTCAACAGAACCAACACACACCACCAATCCAAGCCGGACAAAAATGGACACAACGGGGGATTTCAAATACCTTTGTCTTGAGGTTGTTAGAAATGATATGGGACAAATAGAAAAAAACCTTGGGGATTAGGGCAGGGTGTCACATGTGGATGCCTTTCACGGGAACTCCAAAGGAGGCTCTTTGAGCAGGTAGTGGTTTGAGCATGTTTAAAGAGACTGAATCGCCCTGGATTTGACATCCGCGACCCAGGTGGACATCATTTGGGAAAGGATGGAACCGAAAGCCGGCCGCGTTGCCAGAAGAGTGCCTCTCAAACGAGACCCCTTCAGGCTGGTTTTTGGTTCCTACCATCTAGAAAAGGGCCTCCGTTTTGAGACAGACCCAGAAGAGGCTATACAAGTCTTAGTCTTCTTCAAGGTATCGTCCAAACATATGCCGCAAATGCACCAGTGGACCCGTACCATGCCCACACTTGCTTTTGCGCCCACCATCTTGCCACCCCCCTCTCCAGCTTTCGGGATTCGTCCCCCTTGCATATCCACCCCGGAAGATCCACTCCTTACCGGTTGACAAGGAAGCCCAACAAAAGTGCGGGCCCCTGGCAATGCATCAGTTCCCGTTCGACGAAACATCACCAAGGTATGCAAAACAGCCCAATGTGTCACTGGCATTGACAGTTTGAAGGTCCAAGGAGAGTTTTACTGTACCTGGCAAACAAACCTTGTGGGCTGCTGAGAGAAATGGAAAAGAACACCCACGCTGCACTGAAGCCATTTCGCAAGCCGGAACCCTTTTCTGGGGTCCCGAAGTTTGTTAGCCGGCTTACACACGTGTTTCAATCTGCTTCAATTTGGGGGCTTCCCACCATTCCAACAAGGAGAACGAGGTGTTCCAGTTGAATGGGGCAGCCTCACATCCCAAAAAACCGTGGGTTCCCCCAAAAAACCGTGGGTTCCCCCAAAAAACCATGGGTTCCCCCCCCAAAAAAAAAACCGTGGGTTCCCAAAAAAATGCCATGCCTGGGAGCCATGATGACATCAAACAGCTGTGAGCCAAGAGACGGTGCCCAAATTTAGTTTGCCCCTGCCACGTACAAAACATGGACTAAACCCTGCGGTCTGGTAGCTTTTGATTCTGACCCATACCCATTTTGGGGGGGTGGCTTGAAAGGAAATTAAAGGGGAAAACCACTGCTTTGGGCTCACCATTTGCATGGGTGCCATACCCAAAGAAATCCATGCTTTGGGGTGGCTTCAAAGGGGAACCACTAGTCTTGACCCAGGATTAATAAACCCATTATTAGGGGGGTGTTCCCTCCAAAAGTGATGAATCCCCACTAAAAGGGGACACCCCCTATTAATCAACCGGGGGTTCATTAATCCGGGGTTAACAATACTTTGGGTTGGCACCCCCAATTTTAAGACGGGCCCATCCCCAAATTTCCTCACGTCACGACTCACGACCCTCGATCCGCTGCGCTCTCCCGCCTGGGGCGGGCAGCCGTTCAGCAGCGCCACGCCGAAGTAGCCTCGGAGAACTCACGGAGAGTCTCGCGAAGGCGTCGTTTTTTGGCGGTGCCCTGGTTGGCTCTTGGGAATGCAAAACCATGGGTTACAGCTGGTTTTTTGTTATTATTATTTTTTTCTGGGGTGATACTGTGGACGAATTCCATGTCGCACCAGCTAAGAGACCCTGGTTTCGGATGACTCCCGCGTCCAACGAACAATGGTTTACCATAAGTTCCCAGTGAGTCACAATCAATCCGACCCAGAACCATGTAAAGAACTAAGCAGGCGGCCGCAGCTATTTATGGCTGGGATCGTCCCTTACGAACCTTCACGCACCTGGGTTTTGAGTGTGACTCAAGTGGACCCCAGCTCGGCCAGGTCTGTGGGGGGGGCCGGGGAGGCCTTGGCCAAAACCCACGCTTGCTTCGCCCGGGCTCGACCAAGGCCGCCTATGCCCACGAAACGCTGGTCCATTCAAGCGGCACTCAATATGATAAGGCCGCATGGCGTATTGGTTGTGCCTTTTTTGGGGAAGGGCCACAAAAACTGCGTTTCGGTTTCCTTTTGGCTCCCCTTTGCAAGACCAAACAAAGACGGTAACTTACATTGCGGACAACCGGAATGCAAGGTGAGCGATGCCGAAAAAATCCGAAAGTTGTGGAATCGATTAGGGGGTAGGTGCAAGAGGAGGGTGCCTAGTTGAGAGTGCTAGGGTTTCTTTGAGTTTTTAGGGTTCCTTGCAGGTCCTTGTCTCAGGGAACCCCCCCCCCCGGCCGACCACCCCGACGTAGCAACTCCCGAGCTGAGGGTTGTGCTGCAAGTGGCCATGGCTCGCAAACCAACCCAGTTCAACGAACCACCAGACCACTGAACTCATGGCCCTCGGCCCCCCTGCTCCTAAATGCTAAGTGGCCGAGGATTTTCGCGCGGTTAAGCGCCAGAGTGACTTCAGCATGCATGCGGTGATTCACCCAACCTGGAAGCTTCTGACCGGGCTGTCCTCGGATATTTGCCTCGCTGAGAGCTCAAATTGTGGGTTACATGGAAACCCCCGCTGAACCCTGAAAACCTAAAAACCGAATGGACGGGAACCACCGAGTTCAGGGCCCCCTTCGTAGAATGATAAGAGGAAAGCCGAGCTGCTTGGGTGGCCACAGGCGTTCGATGAGACTAAGAGAGAGAGGAAGAGAGAAAGAGAGAAAGAGAGAAAGAGAGAAAGAGAGAAAGAGAGAAAGAGAGAAAGAGAGAAAGAGAGAAAGAGAGAAAGAGAGAGAGAGAGAAAGAGAGAGAGAGAGAGAGAGAGAGAGACAGAGAGACAGAGAGACAGAGAGACAGAGAGACAGAGAGACAGAGAGACAGAGAGACAGAGAGACAGAGAGACAGAGAGACAGAGAGACAGAGAGACAAAGAGACAGAGAGACAAAGAGACAGAGAGACAGAAGAGACAGAAGAGACAGAAGAGACAGAAGAGACAGAAGAGACAGAAGAGACAGAAGAGACAGAAGAGAACAGAAGAGACAGAAGAGAACAGAGAGACAGAGAGACAGAGAGACAGAGAGACAGAGAGAGACAGAGAGACAGAGAGAGACAGAGAGAGAGAGACGGACAGGACAGGCAGACAGGCAGGCAGGCAGACGGACAGACAGAGACAGACGGACGGCGCCAGGTTGATAAACCATTTGGTCTGCTTCGGTCAACCCAGTCAGGTGCAGAACGATATTCTCACCAGTTGGACCAGTTGCCCTATGGGTGAGGCGTTGATCTCGAAGTGATTCGCACTTTGCAGAGCAAATTGTGGTGGCTCGACTCCATCCTGGTCCGATGTCTTGATTTTGGCTTGCATGCCAGCATCACCGGCTGCGCTCAGCTTTGATTTGGTGGCAGGTCTTGTGAAAGGGCTGATAGCCAGGCTGCTGTTGGGAGGGTATAGGTTGGCAGACAAACAGGCAGACAAACAGACAGGCAGGCAGGCGGAAAGACAGAAAGACCAACGGAAAAAAAAAGACAGCCAACACAAGCCAAGCACACAATAAACGAGAGCGCGAAACAAAACAAGCAAAAGCAAGCAAAGACGCACACAAGCAAGCAAGCAAACAAACAAACAAACAAAACAAACGAACAAAAAACACCAAACAACAAAACAAACAAAAAACCAATCAAGCAAGACAACAAACACAACAACCGAGCAAATCAAAACCAAAAAACACAAGCAAACACAACAAAACAAACAAAACAACCCAAACAATTTAGCTAAACCAAACCAAACCACAACAAAACAAACAAAACCATACCAGGATGAACAAGGCAACACCACACCACAACAAACCAAAGCAAACAAAAAGAACAACCAGCAATACAAACCACAAATCCAAAGAAACAAGCAAAAACAAGAATTGAATAAGGAACAAAGAACACACAAGACAAACAAAACAAACAAAACAACACAGCACAACACAATACAATTAAACAAACAAGCCAAACAAACAAACAAACAAACAAACAAACAAACAAACAAGCAACCAAGCAACCAAGCAACCAAGCAACCAAGCAACCAACAAACCAAGCAACCAAGCAAGCAAGCAACCAAGCAACCAAGCAACCAAGCAACCAAGCAAGCAAGCAAGGCCAAACAAGGAAACACAAAACCAAAGCAAAGCAAAGCAAAAAAAAAGCAAAACCAACCCAAACAATCAAAACAAACCAAACAAAACCACGCCACAACAATCCAAACCAATTTAAGAACATGTCCAGCCCCCCACCCCTCCCCCTGCTCGGTGCAAACCTAGAGGCCCAGCATCGGCAGCGGCCTGCCCTGCTGGACGCTCAGCCTCACGATTCAAACCATCGTCTTGGTCCTGGTGGGTTTGGGGCGGTTAGTAGGGTTAAGGCCAATTCGGGGCCCCCAGCCTACCAAAAGTACGGCCTAGGGGTTGTTTGGCTAGTAGCCACTTACAGGGTTTCTTTGGGCGCATTTTTCTGCATTTTCTTCTTGGGGGCCCCTGACCATGTCTTCCTGGCCGGAAGGGAAGGGTGGGCTTAGGATGGGTTAGGGTTCGCTTGGTCTAGATCAACATGGCATAAGACTTGCTTGGGGATAGGAAATCGCAGCCCACAAAGGACGCATCTTTTTTGGGCGCGGAAGGGTGGGGGGGTGGGGGGGTGGGGGGGTGGGGCGGTGGGGTGCCAAGCACCCGCAAAACAAGACTCGCGCTCAAGGCTCTGCCACTTGAAGAGCGGGGAAGGGGTGAACACCCTCTGCAGTTGGTGAATGCCGCAAGGATTGGCGGGGTAGGGTGACAAGCACCCGGAAACCACACGCATGTCCAAGCGTGTCAATGGTGAGCGCTTCAGCAACCTCTTTGCCGCTGTTTCGTGCCCTTCGAGCGCAACATAAGCATACCCCAAGTTCAGCACATTTTTATCTGTCCCGCGCATGTTCAACCAGCCGGGCTTACAGAGATTTACACAAAGTCGTGGCCCTGTGCCCTTTCTTCCGTGCCTATTTGACCAGCAAATCCCGTGTACACAAGAAACAAGCCAAACAAAAAACAGCCAAGCCAAACGAGCCAAACGAGCCAAACGAGCCAAACGAGCCAAACGAGCCAAATAAACTAAACAAGCCAAATAAACCAAACAAGCCAAACAAAACAAATAAATCACACAAAACAAACAAACAAACAAACAAACAAACAAACGAACGAACGAACGAACGAACAAACACAAAACAAAAAACAAAAAAGACAGACAAACAGACAGACAAACAGACAGACAAACAGTCAGACAAACAAATGAATCACAAACAGACAAAACAACGAAAGAAGGAAGCAGCAACGAGCAAACAAACTTCGAACCTCCATGATTGCTGGCCCCACTCCCGTACCCAGGGGGTAGGTAGTGAGCACAGATCCCGCCAATGGCAGAAGCAGCGCCTTGCACATTCGGCCACTGGGTGCCAAGTTTGGAAAAAACACACAATTGTTTTTGTTGTTCTTCGGAGGAAACATCTCTACAAATGGATCTCTGCGTTGTCACTGGTTTGTCCATCGCAAAATCTCCTTCAAGGTCCTTCAAGTCGCCCCGAAATTGGGGGTGCCACACACGACACGCTTAATATCCTACGAGGCTCTAACTTGTGGATAAGATGTCCCAAAAAATGAAAAAGAGCAGAGAAGCAACTTAGCAACCAGTGTGCCTGCCCCTAATTCCCTCACGAGTGCCTCAAACAAATCCAAGCTAAAAGCAAACACACCTTTCAATCCAGGGGTCTATTCATCTGGGGCCAATGTGAGCGGCTCAATGTTTCCCCTGGGGGTTCAAACCCACCAAAGGGGGTTCATAGAACCACTACTATTTACCCTTCAGGAATTTCAGAACATCCAAATTGTGTCAACCAAATTGCCATTCTTTTTCATGGAGGCAAGGAGCCCTACTTGGGTGTTCGACCAACGTAAGTAGGCTAGAACCATGGTGATAAGGGAACTCCCGTGTGGATTCGACACGCCCAGCAAAATTGTTGCAAAGCCCCTGGGTTTAAAAAGGGCTTTGCCCCAAACCGGACCCACACCTCGGGGCCTCGGCTTCCCCCTTGCCTTCCGCAAGGGGAGCCAAAGGACACGGAAAGCTCGAGACAAGGCGCGGTCGCTTTCGCAATTGCGCGCGCAAAGGTCCAAAGAAACCGTGCGCGCCTCACACCCCGCTCAATCCGCCAAATCAAACGGAGCTCTTTCGCCATTGCTGGGGGGGGGGGGGGCGGCCAGGAATTTCAAGGAGATTTGGGAACACGACGGACCAAGCCTAGGTCCTCCAGTAGAGAGCTTAGAATAAGGGTACCCTTGTTTCTGTAGTCTATTTTAGTCGGGGAACCGGCACTACTGGGGGACCTAGAAGCAGAAGGTTTTCTCCGCCGGGAGAAAAACCTTTGGGCGCCTCCATTCGGAGCGGGCTTTGCGGTTTGCCTTTTGAGCAGCCTCCCTTGAAAAGGATTTGTTTTTACACCAGGGGGGGCTGCTTATTTTATCCCGCAAGCCGTAGAAAAGGCAAGCCATGAGATTCGGAGCCCCCCGGAGCCCCCGGGGCCCCTCGGGGCCCCCGGCCGGCGCAACATGAGGCACCCGGCCACCGGCTCGGTGCAGAGCAGCAACGCCTCGAACCGCCGGAACTGGAAGTCTGGGGTTCAAACCCACCACTAAATCAAAGGGGGCTTTAAAAAAAAACACCATGATATTTACCCTGCAGGAATTTCAGAACCCAAATTGTTGGAGAACCAACTGCCATTCTTGCTTCATGTAAAAGAGAACCAATTGCTTCAGAACCAAATTGCCATTCGTTTTCGTGGAAAGGAGCCACACATGGGTGTTCAACCAGCTTAGTAAGTGCCGTACTTGGGAGTTTGGAGGGAACAAGCAGCTGGGGCTGGTGGCACATTTCTCCAGTTTTGGGGGGGTGCCCCTTGTGCCTTGTCGTTGCTTTTTGGCCGCCCCCCTCAAACAGGCAAAAGGTCGATGGCCATTGCAATCTCTCCGGGCCGCACCGTGCTTTGCTCCACCAAAGAGGTCTGGGACACAAACTGGCGCTTCATGCCGCTTCCAGCTTCCTTTGTGCTTGGATAAGATAAAGGAATTGGACCTTAACCCCATCTCCCGCAAAAGAGATGCTCCTTGATCCTGAGTCCATCTTAGGAAGTCATCATCAAAATTGCCCTCTAACAAGCATTTTGAGAACCGGCTAAAAAATCGTAATTCAGCTTAGAGGGAACCCGCAAAAATTAAAGCGCTGCATCATTATAAGGGGTCTCAAAATACCAAGAAGGCGTCCCCAAACGCCTCAAACATGGAGACACGCGGCCCTCAAAATGGCAACGCTGTCCTTTCGGTTTTCCTTTACAAACCCACCAACCAGGATTCCACGAATGACACGCTGCTGATTTTCCATGTGGGTATTGTTCTTCTTTTTGTGGGGGTGCCCTTTTTGGGTGGGATTTGAAGGGAGGTCTCAAAAGTTGAGAAACCGTCGCCACTTGGGCAAATGGCGTCTTCATTCCCTCTGTCTTTGTTGAAGCTGCCTTTCTTTTTTTCTTTTCTTTTTCAGGAAGACCCGAAAAAGGAACCCCACCCCCCCCCCCCCCCGCCTTTTTGGAGCTCCACCCCGTCTTTGACACACAAACCCCCCCCCCCCCCCGGCTGAACGAAGAAGCGCCGATCGATCCGAGGCGCAAAGGTCTCCAGCTTCAGGCGCGCCAGCTCCCGGGACCTCGCAACGGCGCTTGGCTTCACCCCGGTGTCATGGGCTGAGCTTAGGGGCTGGGGTGGCCTTGGGGTGGAGTGGGGCCGGGATGTTGGGGTGGAGTGGTGTTGGGGTGGTGGAGTTGGGGTGCCCTTAACTTGGCTGACCTTAACTTGGCTGGTTAAAAAGGACCCCAGCAAAAAAATAGATGTGAAAAATATATATGTTTTGCCTGGTTAGCACCAACCAAGGGGATTCCAAAAAAGCAAAACATGAACAAGGCCTTGGGGTGGAGTTGGGGCTAGGTCCTCCAGTAGAAAGGTGAGAATCAGGGTACCAACTTCTTTCTGCCGTCTATTTTAGGAGGGGAACCCTTCCCAAAAAAAGGTTAAAAGGGCACTAGGTTGAGTTGACTCCATGGTCATCAAGCCCAGTTTGTTGAATTTTCGGGGGTGGGGGGGGGCCGCTGCAAAGTGGATTCCGGATTCCGGAGTCCAACCGAGCACAAGAGAAAAAAACAAATACGATCCCGAATCCCCACCATTCATCCCCGCCACCTGCCCTCTGCAGCCGGGACGCATCATATCCCACGGATGCCCGAAGGGGTCCTGCACAGAACCAAGGGAACCCCCGGCGCGTCTTCGGAGCCCGCGCCGGGGGATATTTTTGGACCCCAGCTCGGATAACATGGGTGTGCCCTCCAACGGGTGGCTTCCCACTAAAGCCACCCCAAAAAAGGGGGGTTCCCTTACTGTGGACGGAGGACATCCAAAAACCACCGTTGAGAAACCCTCAAACGCTGATTCCCCCGCAAACTACCAACCAGCAATGGGGTTTCCTTTGGTTTCGAAGTGGTGCGAACAAAATATGGCTGTGGTTCAAAAAACCGGTACCAAAACGGAACCCTGGTAAGTGGAAACATGGTTGCCAAAATCTGCGGTTTGCCCCTCCGATCGTGTAATTTTGAGGCACACCCAATTGTGTTGCCCTTCTGTTTCACACCTTCCCCCGAACCTGTGGTTTTTGATTGGTGGCTTGGGTTTTTGATGGGTGGTGCGACATCTAAGGGCTCCTTTTCAGGACGCCTTTCTCGGATCCAGAAGGCCTGGCAGAGTCGCGGAATCGAGGTCTCCCAAACAGACTACTTGAGGTGCCATCCATGCAAAAACAAAAACAAAAAACTGCAACAAGGTGTTTACAGTGGGTGGGTGGAAGAAATCCTGCACCTAGTTGGATGATTGCCCTGTAAATACCAACCAACAATGGTTGCCCATGGAAACCCCAAGTGGTACAGGATATTAACAAGCGCGCCTGGCCCTCACCTCTGACCCCACAACCACGATGGGCACGTAACCCGGGCCTATTTTGCACCACCTTCTTCAGAGCTGCAGGAAAAAACCATTCTCTTCTCAGCAAAAATGAACCTGGGACACCACAACCCACACTTCCTAGAGAAAAAACTCCTTTTGGCCAACCCACTTTTCGAGTTCTACTTCCGGCGGGTAGACCTTGACCAAAAAATCGCTGTGCGAAAAAAGTCGACGGCGGCGGCGGTGCGTCCTCCTCTGCGGCGCGCAGCAGCTGCGTCACCCCGGGGTCCCCCAAGTTGCAGAGCCCCAGGATCTTGCACCACCGCGGCTCCTCAGCGACGAGTCGCGGCGAGGCGCGACGAGGGCGGAGGAGACCCCCCCCAAAAAAAAACACTCACAATGGTGGTTGTTCCCCTCAAAAATAAATAAATGTTGTTTTGTCTTTGTGCTTTCCTTGTCTGGCGCATTGGGACATGCATACGCCTTCAACAAAGAAGAGAAGGCTAAAACATCCAATCAATTCGCAGTCAAAAGTGCTTTCAAATTTGGGCAATGAATGTAGGTGAATCTTTCTGAAAGTAGAGCAACTTAGGGGTGGCATGTCTGAGTCTGAAAGTAGGATCTTGAAGGGTTCCCTATGTCGAGAAAAACGGTCGAAACTCGGGGTCGCTGGCCCTTCTTTGTGCCTCTCGGATTCGTTCACCAGTGTCCAACAGTGGAGCCGAGCAAAATAAAAACACAACCCCGTTGCTGTCACCCCCGCCTTTCTAAGGGGCAAAAAATGCAGCGTACCACGCATCGCATCCATTTGCAGAGAATGCGGGCGGCGTGGTACCTCCATGGGACAAACTTGTCCAAGCCGTGGCGGTGCATATGGGGTTGCTCCCCTTCGGACCCTGGCAAAGGGACAAATTTGGTTCTGATTTGCCTATTGACCACCCCAAAAAACTGATCCAGAAGCTCGCTCGCTGAAACGGCTGAAATGTCCACCCCCCCCCCCCCCCCGCGCCGAAAGAAAATCCTCCGCCCTCCTGGGAAAAGGAAAACCATGAACCCCAAAGCAAACTCCACCGCAAACAAATCCAAGGCCAAGCCGAACCACCGGGCAAATGTTGGACATGGCAAAGGAACAGCCAAGACAACAGTTTCGAAACAACAAAGGCAAATAATCACCGACACAAATTTATTTACGTAGTTTCATTTTTTGAAATTTAATCCTAGCCCACACACAAAATCCACACTGGGGGGAATACTGAAGAGACTGAACATATCTAGGCAAGCTTCAAAAAATAATCATATTTGTTGCAGCTGCCCCCCCCCAAAAAAAAGAGGATCAAAATGCAACACACAGGCTCGAACAAAGCTGTTTGAATGCGATCCCAAACCTGGATGAAGCTTTGTCCAGGCCCTAGCCAAGCTACCCAACACTTGCGGGGGAGGGGGAAAAACCAACAACGTCCAAGCTCAAAAACGGTGCGCACCGTGTCGATTGCAAACCTCACCCTGTTTTTTTTGCCGCAAAGAAAGGGGGAACCAATACTTGAGGAAAAACAGGGTCGTCTAGGCCCCTGGCAAAGAATGATTTGTTGGACCTCCTCCCCACACATTCTACAGTATGATGCCAAATCAAATGCGAAATCATGTTCAGTAGTATCAATCACATGAAAATTCCTGCAATGCTAAATCAAATGTAAGCTCGAAATTGGACCCAACAATGCGGCACAAATCCAAGCTGGTTGATTTGGTGAGCTACAGTCCGATTCATCAAAGGTGACCACTCAAGGGGAAGCGCCAACCAAACTAATCCAGGGATCCTCTTTCAGGAACCCATCAGGAAAACCCACAAACGCGAACGACCTCTGGCTGGAAAAACAGCCATGGTTCAATAGCATGGACAAGGAATCAAGCCCTAGCACTAATGGGGAATCAACTCAACAGGGAAAGAAACACAGCGAACCAGAAACCGGGACCCTTATTAACCCCAGTCCGGTAGGCGAGCGCAAACCCTGTTTTACTGATGGGCATTGGTTACTCGAGCCAAACGGTCATCGCCGTTCGACATGTGTTCATGCAGTCAACGGGGCCTCCAACATCACATGCATGCACACCCTTCTGGGGTACCTCTTTGGGGGTCAAGGGGCCGTGATTATTCAACTCCCCCCTCCCCGTGCTCACTAAGAGACTTGTATTTTACAGTCGCGCTTGAGCTGCGACCCATGTGATGCAAGGTCCTTTACCAGCCCAATAAGAGGGCTTACCTATGATTTCTGCATTTTTCTTACTACGTACTTGATCACTACACCTGTGCCCGGTTCAAGTTGCTCTGAAAGTGCGGACAAGTTCACTTTATGAGTGCGCTATATGTGCCGCATTTTTAGGGGAGTAACCTTTCTTGGCAACAAGGATAGTGGCTTGGTTATCTTCGTGTGATACAAAGAGAACGTGAGTGAAACGACCTCGGCTTCGGTGGTGGCCTCGACACTGATGTCTGTCGTTTGCTCAACCACGCTAAAGGAAAATGGGTGTTCGGTCCTTTGAGAACCAAGAAGCCACCGGATGTGGACTTCGCATCCCTTTCTCCAGCATAGTCAGCATCCGCAAACAGAGCGAGGTGAAGATCTTGCGGGTTGTCCTTTATGACTCCTACCAACCGGTAGTGCGTAGTCGAGTGGATGTACGCGATAAGACGGGCAAGTTGCCTATCGTGGTTACGAGACCACTTCTGCACGGCGGTTGCTAAGTCACCTATGGGCTTGATGATATCTGGACGCGCTATGCGTCCCAGCCATAAGGCCTTCATGAGGAGTTTGCACGCGTTTGGGGCTAGCTCACCAGCTGACTGATCATCTTCGGGAGGAAGTGATCCGTCTGGACAGAATGGAGTAGTTACCTTCCGGAGCTTCTCGGGTTGAGTGCCGGCTATAGAACAAAACAGTTCTACAGTTTGACGGGCATAGTCGTTCATGTCAAAGGCAACGGCACCCTTTTATGCGCTTGCAGCTGCATTCAGATCATGCTCTTGAGGCTCTGCGGGGGCGTCTATAAAGACATGATTACGCCCAAGCACCCGAAAGATCGGCTCGGGAGGCTCTACATTTATCATTTTTGTAAGCTTTGCCCTAAAGGCTTCGTGTGCATCTGCGGGACCTGATAGGGTCAAGTCATCGACGTGAGTCGAGAGCATAAGGCCTACCCGGTTTTAAAGAAAAAGTTTCCAGGAAACGGGATGTCTTCCCCTCCCAGCTCCTTGAGCAGTTTCTCAAGGTGTGCCTCCCACAGACAAGACCACCGGTTTCACAAACTTGGAACCCCATCAGCTCAGGCGGGAGTTCGATCCACGTCTGGAATTGCGAGCTGAGGAATGCCTGGACATAGGCCTTTACCGCGTCAGCGGTGGTGACCGTGTGTCCTGGGATACACCCATACGCCAGACAGGCGTTTAGGCCTTGTACCGAGGTGGGGTTGGCCCCCAGTTCCTGGTACACCGCGGGTGCACCGGCTTCATCTTTTGCACACTCCCCCCTGAACACGATGCGCCCCTCTACCTTTTGGAGGTGCTTCGCAAGTTCATAGAACTTGATGCTGGCGATCGTCATGAGCTGACCTCAGCCTTCTCCCGGACAGTTGAACTATCCCATACTCCGACGTCTTGGAGTCCGGTCGCCTCCTGCTTGATTGCTTCCAATGCTTCAGGAGATGCAAGCATCTCAGCACGGGACAGAAGTTTAGCGACCATTGAATGCGCTTCTGTTTCGACAGCCTTGGAGGGCATGCCGACCGCATTAGCAAGTAGACCTTGGACGTCAAGGAGTTCCTCTACAATCTCTTCTGTCTTAGAGTCTGATTCAACGAGGAGGGTGAAGTCATCTGCTCCGGAAAGAGGAGATTCGTGTCTTAGGGATTGCTCCTTAACACGATGCTCCGCTTGCTGAGTGACTGGAACAACAGGCATTGCTTGAACCGGAGTCCTACAAACTTTGGGATACAACGCTTTGGCAATCAAACCACACATCTGTTCAGGGTAGAATGCGGTGCGGGAGGTTCGGCTCCCTGCCGCTGGAGTATGTTTTTCGGACTTTGGGTGCGGACACTGGCGATCAGCGAATGCTTCGGCAAGAGCCTTTGATGTAGTTTTGATGTGCCAAGGCTTCTTGATGGGTGAACCATTTTCATCCGTCAAACCAACAGCACAGCCATGAAACGAAACACCATGGAACACATCCTTGTGGCGTTCGAAAAACTCGGCTACATCTGGCCTCTGCCAGCCTTCGCAGTCACGCGGCCACTCGAAAGTGACTGATCTGCGTGCATTGCAAATTTTGAAAACATCACTTTGGATTGCTTGACTTTTTCCCCTAACTTTTTCTTGAACGGCTTTCCTAACCTGTGGAGGTTCAGCCTCTGCCAAGGTGATCCTGAGACACATGGAATGGCTGCCCACAAGTTGGGTCGGGCACACTGCGAGAGTTGATATGCGAGCTGCTCATCCGCGACGGCTGACTCTAAGTCAATATGCTCCTTTGCTAGTCGGACATGTGGGATGTTGAGATCCTTAAACAAATTACCCATTGAGGAATTAGGTGAACAAGCAAATTCAAACATCGGGCCAACAGCATCACGCGCTAGGCGCTTGCGAGCACGCTTGTTGCCAACGGTAAACGGAGGGCGTTCATCGCCCCCCTGAAGCTGGCAAGGGTTACCGAAAACGGATGGCTTCTCTTTCGTGGTCTCAGCAAGTGTTGTGCTGGATGCAGTTGACACGGTGACGGCCGCTCCTGAGCTGACTGGGATGTTGCCCTCGTGAAGGCTGAGCCCCCCTGCTGCGCTTAAAGCTGCAGCCACATGCTCGGAATCACTATATAACCTAAAAATGGTTCAGAACACAGGGAGTTCTCGATGTGCTGAGAATCTGCCTGCCCAACCTTGCTACCATCTTGCTGGGACACAACGCGAGTGGTCCTACCGGGTGTGATTCTGCACACTGACACAGGACAATCACCGACATCCTTGGGAGTGAAGAGTTTAATCCTAGGCTGATGACGCACACGGATTAGCACGTTACCACTAGGCTTATAAACCCATTCATCCTTCTTGGTTGATGCGGGGACGGCGTCGGTGTGCGGAACACTGGGCCGAGAAGAGGCGGGCTCTCCAAGCAAGGCACGGACGATATCGGGGTCTCCCTCCTCAGGTGCCTCGATCCCTGGGGCTTCTGGGGGTTCTTGGGGAAGACGCCTTTGCAGCGCGTATAGCAGCTGCCTCATCTGCACCCTTACTTGGTTTGGTGGCCTCCTCACTTGCGGCCTTTTTGGCCTTTGCTTCTTCCTTTTC